ATTAATAAACCCCTAGGCTGTTTAATTGGGGGGGCAATTAAGTATCATATTATCACTATTTGGAGGGTACCACCATAATCAATAAACCATGGTTTATTAATCCCTGGTTGGCACTAACCATTGCATAACGACCAATCAACAACTACTAGTATTATCAACCATAGTTATCATTAATACAATAATTATTATACATACGTATATATATATATATACCGTGCAAACAAATGTACAAGTGTTTATTACTTGATGGTATTTTGACCATATTAACCATATCACTGCAGTCATATTCACCATTAATCATATCATTATGACTAAGCAATAGTGATAATATGCCAACCATCGTCTTTAACCATATAATCATAGTTATTATAATAGCCATTAGTCACAATGTAATCACAATATACGAACCAATCAACAACTATTATCATTATTAATCATTGTAGTTTAATAGCAATGTTTAACCATATTATCCACTATTAAAAATAAATCAATACATCGATAAATGAATAAGCATAGTTATTGATTCATAGTTATTGAATCATATTAATCATATTTATTTAACCATATATGGGGATTTCCATAAATGGGGGATCCCCAAAATGGTTGGTATCCATTTATAAACATTGCTATTTCAGGAAACCTCCGTATACCTGGTAATACCGTATACCAATTGCATAAACCAGCCCCTCAATTGTATATACCATATGTACTTAACATTACTTAACCATATTCAACATGCTCAATACTGATCATATTATATAACCAGTATTAATCATATTTACTTAAGCATGTATATATATATGTATACTTTAATAGGGTTTTCCAATATAAACCATCCATTTGGGGAAACCCCGATGACTATGGAAACCTCATGCCCTGCCGGGCCACTGGTGCATCATGCGGCACTGGAAGGTGGGCCCAGCTTGGAAGCCCAAGCTGCCGTCCAGCACGGCGTTGCCTACCATGGCCGGGTCATTGGTGATCATTAGTTGGAAAAATCCATGGGTTTTCCTACCAAAAACCTATGGTTACACTAGGGTAGACAACAGAAAAATGTGGAAAAGCCGGTTTCATCCTGGAAAGGAAGATGATCTACTTTTATGTTGAAAAGCCGGTCAAAATGACCATTTTGCCCATCAAAATGGTGTTTTTTGCCCATAAAAATGATGGTTTTACTATCCATTTTGTGGTTTACCACAGAGAATGTTGCGTTGAACAACAGATGTGGGGTTTTCCGTATAGTAAGTGCTTCCGTACAGTAAATGCACCCATCCGAATGGTGATGCAGCCACTAAATACCAATGGTATCCAATGGTCAAGAGAAAATGAGCAACTGGTCCACTGTTTTCAAGTGATATTCCACTTCTTGGAGAATCAGTTCCCGACCTTTTTTAAGCTGTTCCCGAGGTTGAGGAGTACCGTAACCCTCATGTTTGGATCAGTTTGAAACACAGTGATGGTTGATTCAAAGTTTTAACCCAAGTTTTATTGGTCAAAACATGTCAAAACTTTAGATTTTGATAGACGATTATAGTTCTGTTGGTTCAATACTTCCCGCTTCCGCCTGCGAAGACGCATCGGAGCGCCAGCGAAGCACTGGGGGCCTGTTTCCTCAGCTCCACAAGAACCCTCATCTGGGGATGGGTCAAAACCCTGGTACCTAGTGAACCCCAAAATAGCTGGTAAATGGATGTTCATCCCCTAATAAACTGTATCTATAGGTATTGATCCATAGCCATCTACTCACAATTCTTCGGCCAAAAGAAAACAATTCAACATAATTCAACCCAAGTAAATCCTCTGCTAGTTGATAGGGTTGATAAAAAAGGGTTGAATTCTTGATATAGTTTTAAGTTGATATCGTTTTTCCCCAAAGGTGTGGAATTAGTTCCAATAGGTTCCAATTCATGGCCATTTCGATGGGGATAAATAGTGGTTACCCTCTGGTGATTTAATATAGCTATGGAAAATCACCATGTATGATACATCGAACTAAATGCGTCAGTCTATGCATGTTCCATAGCAACCTGTTGAATTACCGGAGGGTACCACATCTTTTGTTTGGTTAAATCCCATTAAATCGCAGTTTTGGGTTGGTTACGTGCCATTGAATCACCATGTTTGGCTAATTTGGTTGGCTCAATCCCATCAAATCAGCATTTTAGGTTAGTTATATCGCATCAAATCACCATGGTTGCTTCGTTAAATTCACATTTTCCCCCTGGAAGTTGGGGAAAATCCATCTCCCCCGTCTCCTTTCCAACCGCGCCGCAGGATGGGCTCCTTCTCTTGCAGCCGGGCGTGCAGCACGCGGCGCAAGGTTTCGGCCTCCGCCAAGGACAGAAGCACAAAACAGCGCCCCTCATCGCGGGTGCGGAAGCGGGCATCTAACAGCAGCCTCACCATGTCCTGGCTCCGATGTGATGTGTGGGTAGTGGCTAAAGCTTGGAAGCTCCCAAGTCACATCAATTGATGTCCTACTTCCTGCTGTTTGCCGTGTGCCAATGGGTTGGAAGTTGAATGACTTGGGCACAAAAACGCCGTGTCCTGTGCACTTTTAGGACAATGTGCCTAAATTTGAGGCCAGTTCTCGACCATCCGCATCTCCATTCACCGCCAGATACTTTTGCACCACCCCACTTCCCAACCCGAGTCCCCACCCAAAACCCCACCCGCCAAGTCCATAAATAAACCCAGCTCTTGGCTTCAAATTTTCCAAGACGCTGAAACACCCCACCCTCAACCCCATCCCACTCACCCCACCATCCCAAATTAAAAACAGCAATTTAAGCATCAAAAATAGGCAAACAAAAATGATCTGAAAGTCAACCCATTCCATTCAAGTCCAAAATTCTGAAATTAGAGAGCTCAAAATTCAACCATCCTATCCCCATCATCCCACCCCACTCAACCCCATCAACATCCATTACCATCGATCATCATCCATCAACCCCAAAGTTTATCAACAATATCTCTAAAACTCAGCCATCAAGTTCTCCCATCCCATCTCATCAACCTAAGTTGTGATGTTTGAATCGCATTAAATCCCATTATCAAATATCAACGGTGACATACCCCATCACCCCATCCAACCCCAAGTCAAAAAGTTCCTTCAAATCCTGAATCCTTCACCAACCCCATCCCCAACCCCATCCCGGAACCCCCCCAACCCCCCGAAGCCCCCGAAGGCAGAGCCGCTCCTCGTAGTCCAACTTCTCCTCCGGTCTTCGCCCCAGATACGCCAGGGCCGCTTTGGGATCTCGCAATGAGGCGTCCCAGTCGAAGGACGCGGCCAAGAGCTCCATGAGGCGCTCGGCACCCAGCTCACCTGGCGGATCCGTTGCGGCCCGGGGAAAAGGCGGGGAAAATGGTGGGAAATCGTGGGAAAATTGGGAAAAAACATGGAAAACATGGTGAAAATGGGGTGGAACCAATTAGCGGAAAATTCTGAAGATGTTGGAAAAATGTCTGCCAGAAAAAAGAGAAGCGCCTCAAAGGGGACAGTGAGGGAATTTGTGCGCGTGAGGCAGCGCGGGGGTTTCTTGAACTTGGGTCGTTCCCTCATAATCAACTGACTTCCTTTATCTACATACTTCCCTTACTCGCATATAATTATTTTATGTGTAATGTGGGTAAAACAATGATAAACCACCCATTTGGCAATGCTTTATACAAGCCATCTATGGTGATTTGCGGGATGGTCTATCATTGTTTTACCCACATTAAATTCATATATATAATTATATATATATAATACATATATATTATATATGTATAATAGCTCTGTCATAGTTACATAATGTTACATACATACGTACTCACCCATTCACTCACTTACGTACGCTTCCATCGGCTTCCCAGACCTGGTGGCGGGGGCAATTTCTCAGGCTTCTTGCCATGCCTTGGTGTACTTTGGAGGTCAACCACTCTGATCCTCTGAGCTATGGAACCACCCTGCTTTCAGAAAAGGAGTCTATATGGAAAATTGCCTCAAAACAGGGGTGTCAGTGATTAAACAAATCGGGAAAATTGGACCAGATTTCACTTTTAAATAAACCATCCAGTTTGGGGGTTCAAAACCTGAAGTGGTCATGGTTCCCTCAGCATTGGCATCAGCGGCCTGCATATGGAATAGCTCATTTTTCGGTGGCCAGTTGGGATATTTGTCAAGGGGATGGGAGTCTACCAGTGCCGGCTCAGTCTGCAGCTTCCTCAAAAAATGATGCTATTCCCGTAGTTGCATCATCAATTCCCAAAGCAAATGGAGGTGTGTCTGAAAAGTACTTCAGCCGATCCCCTCAAGTTGAAGTGATATGTGTGCTTATCTTGGCTTATTTCAGGTACATATTTGCAATTTTTCATCATCGCATGATTTCACCATGTTCATCCCATTTTCCACCCCATGTTCTATCTCATGTTCTATGGATTTTCCCACTCAAAGCCCCATTAGATCACCATTGAATCATCATAAAATCCCATTTGATCACTCTTAAATTCCCTTAAAATCACCCATTTTATCCCAGCATCAAAAATCGGGTTTGCCCAAGTCGGGGACCCCCAAGTCATAGGGTTTTAGTACTAAGTCATGGTCTTTTCTGGTGGGATGTTTGATCGATTTGTTCATGGTACCATGACTTGGGAAAGTTTCCATCACTGGGAGACAAAAATGACTCCCATGACTTGGTTAATACTGTTGATGGCAGAAATCCTGCACCACCAAAAGGATGGTTGAAACATGTTTCAACCCTGTAAAAATCATGGGATAAACCACCTAGCAACTGGTGATTCGGATTTCTTCCACCATCCACAGTAGGGGTCACCATGGTTCAATGGGAATTCCAGGATCCTAAGATGGAGGTACTGTACCATATAAGGCCATATTTTGCTGGGATATTCTCTTACATAGGCCTTACATAAGCCTTATATATGGTAGGTACCTCCAATTTCGGTTCCTGAAATGGCCATTGAATGGTCATCCATGACGAGGATGATGACTGGGGCTACCCATGACTCAGTCCCAGCGGCTCGCTGCGGTGCAGCACTTCCAGCTGCGCCTCACGGGGGAGCTCGATGCCCTCGCCGCGCATCAGCAGGTCCCAGGCGGTTCCTGGGCAATGCGAAACTCAGGGGGGAAGTCATGGCGAAATCCATGGGAAAATCTATGGGAAAATCTACACAAAATCTATAGAAAATTGGGATTTTAAGGGATTGAATGTGGTTGAATGGGGATAATGAGATAAGAATATGGGATGTAGTGGGATGCAAGTGGGATACAATTGGGATATATTATACCCAATTATAGTTATCAATTGTGGGATTTAATTGTAATATAATGGGATCTAATGAGATATATGATGGTTACCAATCCTTGGATATGGTGGTATATGATGTTTTGTGTGGTTTGATAGGGATACTAATGGTACAATTATGGGATAATAATGGAATTGCCCTCCGGTAATCAAACATGGCAACCGGAAACAAACTAAGTGGTGGATTTTCAGTTGCCACATTTCAAACGTGAGGGTATATCGGAATAAATATCAAATAGGAATATCACCATCATCTCACAATCATCTCCAAATATGACTAGCAATTTGATGATGAATAGAATATATGTTGATATTAATTCAGAGAATGGGATGCTGATATTAGGAATACATTATTTGAATGAGATGTTGATAAATGGTATTATGGTTGAATTGAATATAGTGATAATTAGCGGGCGTTCAAATACATTGAAATGGAATTACCCTATCATAGTTGATGGAACTAACTGCATATATTGCTTCATTGCCATTAATTGCCTATATCTTTTGATGGGATTATGTCTATGATGGGAAATAGCCATCAAACTTGCAACTGTCCATACCATCCTTACAAGCACTTGGAATATCATCATATAGTCATCAAGTAAGTTTATAATGAGGGTTTGTACGCTGTCACAAGCTTGTCATGGAAGCGGTCATCATCATTCCACCACGGAAATAACCCTCTACATTTACCAATATATACATACATGGATATATTCTAGATAGACCTTGAAAATACTGCCAGGATATATCAGGATTCACGATCAATTTTTTTATACAATCCCACCAGAAGTTGATCAATTTAAAGATTTCTACAAAATCAGACATCACCAGGTTTGAATATCAACCACCAGGGATTTGGAGATACAAGCTATTCACCAAAGGTTGCATTTCTGGGGGTATTTTTGGCAAGAAACCAGGAGACTAACGAAAATGACTTTGTTCTGAGCAAACGCCAATGAAAAACCAGCTAGAATAAGAACATACAACCACTATAATATCAATATAACCATATTGATTTTTTGCTATGAAACACCAGGGATGGACTGGGCAGTGCTCAATTTGTGTGGCATCCATCAGCTGGATCCCCCATGATCCAATGGTTGGAGCTTGACACCGAAAAGCTTCAATATGTCAGCATTGCTGATGAATTAAACCATCTGAAACCCCAAAATTTTTGGTTGTACCCTCTGGTTATGTCAAAATAGCTATTGAAAATACCCCATAGAAATAGTTGATTATGTTGATTTACCTATTCAAAATGGTGGATCTTTCTATAGTTTTTTGTATGTTTACCAGAGGGTATCATCCACCATTGGGGCTTCAGCTAGCCGAGCGTCGGAGCTTCTTGTGCATTTCCAGCTCTTCCACTGTATCCAACTGCAGAGGCTCCTTGCATCTCACCGCCTTACCTGACGTACGGAGGACCGGCAGGATCTATGGCTATGGGAAAATCGACACCGGATGGGGCCCATGGGGGTAAAACCCATGGGTTTTACCCTCTGGTAAACTAACATAGCTATAGAAAATCACCATTTTTAATGGGTAAATCCACTATAAATGGCCATGTTCAATAGCTATGTTAAATTACCAGAGGGTATGTTCGGTTTTTACCATGGGTTTTTACCATCAAATATAAAGGGATGTTCGGTTTCAATTTTCCCAACCGAGACAAAGTTCCAAGATCTTCCAAGCGCTGAAAAACCCTCAGAATCAGACAAAACAAATGGTAAACGTTGGGTCCTCTGCCATTGTTGGAAAGATGATCTGACATCCAGTGGGTCTGTGGGCAACCCAACATAGATGTCAGCTGTAGGAAGGATGTTCATAATTGTGTCAAATTCTTCCTCCTCTTACCCTACACAGCTGGATTGAAGCCACAACTATTCCCCCTAGATGAATATAAATTTCCAAACGTATCGTTTGATGGAATACCCATCCTAGCATGCCATTTCCACATATTTCCACCACATCCAACTTGTGGGGTCAACGTTCACCACTGATTTTGGTATTCTGTGGAAACCCACCAACAAAAAGTTGGTAAAAACATAAAATGCTCTTGTTAAGGACATAGAATAAATCAGCATGTCTTATGAAAAAGGATATATCAGCATCAATCACCATGATTTCTAAGAAAACGGACGTCTGCCCTGCCAAGCAAAATCACCATGTTTATCAAATCGCCCATGTTTCGTTGAGAAAAACCATGGTACACTCAACACGTTTTCGCGAATCTTCTCCGAGGCACCGAAGTCTGGGACCCACTCCATCTGCACGAAGACGTTCTTGACACGTCGGAAGCCGCTCCTGGGGCGTGGCCAGTGGGGCCAGTGACCTGACCTCTGGGAGGTCAGAAAATACCAGGTAAAAAACCACCCCGAAACGAGTTTTTTGTATTGAGTGTTGATCCCTTCTGAGGTTTTTTGAAAAGGGTCTCCAAAAACGACAAAGATTTGTAGCGTCTGCCCATTGATCCATTGATTCTTGGCAACCAAACCCACCACCGTCCAAGGTACCACTGCGGATTGAACCAGTTGGTGGAGATTCGCGCCTCACCCGGCCTCGGAGAAGCTGGAGATGGGTCGAGTCCAGGCGTCGAGGACTTCGTCGTGCCCATGGTGACGACTGGGGATCCCTCATTGTAGGAAACCCCATGAAACCCCATCAAAGAAAAGAAAAAGAACATTCCGAATGCCACAAAAAAACCGAGTGAATCCTAGTGAACACCCGAAAAGCCCACAAAATTCCATCAGATCCGACAAAACCCCATGAAATTCACATGGAAAATCCCATGGATCCCATGACATCCGCCCAGGTCGAGTGACAAATTCTCCAATGGACGCCGTTTCCAAAGCTTGAAGCGCTGGGCCTCATAGAACTGTTTGGCCTTCTCCTGGTGGCCATGGCTTTTTTTGGTTTAACGTGGTAGATGTTTCACCTATGGATTTATGAACCTGAAATATAATTTATGGCCATGTATATATTTACGGTTTTATAAACTGGCCATGGAATATAACTAACTATAGTCGTTTGAATTTCAGGTAGTTATTTATGGTTAATAAGCCCCCTACAACTACAATAAAAATTGACCCTCTGTGACCTATGAGTTCACCCTATGAGTTCTGTAAAGTGCTTGACCGTCCCCTTCAATGGTAAATCAAACCAACTTTCGACCAAGACAAACATGGTTATTTGATACTATTTGTAGTATATAATGATTGTGTACTATTACATAATGACATGTTATATGTGTATAGTATAATAGTCTGAGATGTGTATTTATGATTGTACAATCTAATCTAATATTAGAATGTAATAATATGTGCGTGTGTATATAATATAATATATCATTGTACAAATATTACGTAATCGTTGTATGTACAAGATTGCATGATTATGTATGTAATCATGCACTGCTGTGTGTGTTAAATGCTGCTAAATGCAGGTAAATGCAGTTACTATAAATGCAGTTAAATGCAGTTAAATGCTTTATGTTGCACCTAAGTTTAGTTCTGTTCCCGTCCAAGCGCATCCTCAGAGGCCAGAGAGATCAATGGCCAACTCTCAGGTTCTTCATCATCGCGGCAGTGCATCAAATCAACGAACCTTGGTTTTCTGCGAGGCCCTGAAAAGGCGGTGAAAAGCTGGCTGGATGGTATGTTGGCATTGGGGAGAGCATTGGGGCGACGGAAGTGACACATCCATACAAATCCTTTAATTCCCGGTGGTTTTTCGGGGAAAGGAAGCTGGTGACCAGGGTGTAGCCCTCTCAAACTGGCGGTCCAAGTGTAGAAGGAATCCGTTCTCTGTTTTCAGCATCCCATGCTGAAAATGTCTTGAAGCATAGATCTTAAAGCACAGGCAAGAGACTTTTCAATCTCGATCTCCTGTTCCTTTTCCTCTTCTTGCTCCTGCTCTTGCTGCCTCTCCTGTTCTTGTTCTCGCTGCTGTTCGGTCTCCAATCCAGCCTCGCCTTCCTTCCTAGGTGGGCTCCGGGGGCTCGGGGATGTGTCCAGCTGTGAAGTACGAAGTGAAGCCACTTAGAAGTCGTAGGTCAAAGGTGGTACTCCGGGAATTTGGGTTCCAGGTGGATTTCAGGTGGAAACGTGCTCTTAAAAACTCGGAGTTTCATGACTCCAACTGTCTTTTCCAACTATGGATGGGGATGTCTTTGTTCAGCTCTTGGGTCCCGAAAGTTCGCAGCAAACCAATGGGCTGTATAAGCCATCCCCAAATCAATGGGAATTTCAGGTCAACTGGAGCTACTGTACAGATTGTACAGAGCCATATTTTGGAGGTATCTCCTCTTACATAGCACTTATTTAGACCGTGTATAAGCTAGGTTTATGTCAGCCAGACCATAGCTTATTCTAACTTTTTTAAAACTTGAAAAAAAACTAAAAAAAAAACAAAAAAAAGGAAAAAACAAAAAGCAAATCAGCAAAATCCAAAAAACACAAAAGCAAAATAAGAGGAAAAAAAAGGAAAGACAAAAAGCAAAAAAAAAACGGACAAATATATATATATATACAATCAATTCTCAAAAATCATGAATTGCATCAAATTCCAACCATACTTATGTTCTCCTGAATTGCTTATTCGAATGAATTTTGAATTTGAAAAACTCATAGAGAGGTTGTGTTTCTAGTCTTTTTATATTGTTTTTCCTGTTGTGTTCCTTTTTTTCCCTTTTTTGTTGCTTTTGTTTTTTCCACCCATGTGTTTCCCTTTTTTTCCTTTCTGACTTTCCATTTTTTCCCATTTATTTTGCTTCCTGTTTTTTTTCAGTTTTGAAGTTTTGCTTTTTGATATTCCATGTGTGTTCCTTTTTTTTGCTTTTTTTTCAAGTTTAAAAATCATTAGAATAAGCTATAGAGGTGAACATAAAGCTAGGTACCTCCAATAAATCGACCAAATGCTAGGTTTATAGCATTGGGCTTACCACATTACATATTATTACATGTTGCACTTTGGTAAACTAACAGTTCGATGTGGGTCTCCCGATTCTTTGTAGATCGTTTTCTTGGGGATTCCCAGGGTATCCAATCTGAGCATCTCATCTGCCAGGGCCGAGAGTTCCAAGACATTCTTCTTCACCTGGCATGGTCGGGTCCAAGCCAAGAGGCTATGCAGAAAAACACGGATATGGCAAATGTTCCTGATATTTGATGGTATGATGTGTGTATACATATATATATATATGTATATATATATATTAAAATTATAATTAAATCATGATCAAGATTTTGGTAGTTCCCGCAGTAGGACTTAAGATTTTTGACCCATGCTCCTTCTCAAATGAAGAGAAAGCCTGAACGCAGCACGACCCTACAACCAGCCGAGCTTCACTACTTTGATCACATTCAAAACATTCATCAAAACAACATCTCCTTCCAAATAGGTTGTCCTAGCTTGATTCCAACGCAGATTTTTAGGACATTTCTAGCTCAACATATCATTCCGGGCTGTGACATACCGCACCCGGCTGTGCCTCAGCCACAGCTTCTTCGTCCTCCTCACCCGCAATCAGTGCCGCCATCTCTTCCACGCGATCCTGGACCACCTGAAATAAGCACAGTAAAGTCCTGAAGTATTTGGATCATAGGATGAATAATCATGGTTAATCATGGTTAATAGTGGTTAGTAATGGTTAATCATGGTTAAAACATGGTAAAGAAAAATGCTTCACAATGATTTATCATGGCCCATAATGGACAATATAATTGTGATTACTGACGATTGATGGTGATTAATAGTGAGTAATGGCGATTCATGTGATTAATGGTGATTGATGGTGATTGATGGTGATTGATGGCGATTGATGGTGATTGATGGTGATTATATGATGGTGATTAATGATGAATGATGCAGTTTATTAAGCCTTGAAAAGGAAAATAATGTCGAAAAGGGTGGTACTAAATGGTTTAAGCCTCCAATCCAAAACCCTCAAACTCTGCAGACATTGGGGTGGTTGACCGACAAAATGTTTAGAAATTGCGGTTTAACCCTCAAACATGTTCAAACAAATGGGTGGGTTGACCTTCAAACATGCTCAAGAATTGGGTGAACCGTTCAAAATCAAAGTGGCTATAGAATCTATACGATAGAGCCTTGACACCTTTCAAAATAATGATGTCTAATTACCTTGGATCCCGACTCAATGGAGTCTGACCAACCAAAACGGGTCCCGGCATATCATTAGCTGCAAGTAGGGTATAATGACCATACACCAAGTATAAATGTACTAGTTGGTGGTTTCAACCCCTCTGAAAAATATTAGTCAGTTGGGGTTACTATTCCCAATATATATATATATATATGTAAAAATAAAAAATGTTCCAAACCACCAACCAGCGTACATCATTCCATCCTCTAGCGAAAAAATAGCAAAACCAATGATCAAACCACAAAATGAACCAAGTCCATTACTTTCCACCCGGGTGTCTGGACAAATGTGACAGGGCTTTTTTTCTGGAGAATTCTCCCCCTCTGACAGGAAATCAGCCGGGATCATCCAGGACATGTCGAAAATACACATCCCAATTGTACAAGATTCTACCCTCTGGTAAACATACAAAAAACTATGGAAAATCACCATTTTTAATGGGAAAACTCACTATAAATGGCCATTTTCAATAGCTATGTTAAATTACCAGAGGGTATTCTAACCTCTTCCATAAAAAATCCCCCATAGTCCTGAACAATCCATCCTTGATCCACAAAACTATTTTTTGGGCATCCAAAAGGCATCCCGAAACTATGACATCGCCGGGCTCGGTCGATCCAACATGCTTCACCCACCTCATGGTTGATACATAATCCTCAATAGATTAGATGATTCGCTAGTATCAGGTACTATAAGTCCCAACAGATTCACCAAGCAAGGTATTTTCAATAGCTCAAAGTGGGTTGATAGTGGTTAATCATGGTTAATAATGGTTAATCATGGTTAATAATGGTGAATAATGGCTCACAGTGGCAAAAAAACAAATCCTCCCAGCGCCTCGTGCACTCCGCGGGCTTTGGGTACACCGCTGGGCAAAGTGAAGGCAATGGGCTCCTGCGGAGGTACGTACCATATATAGGGTCTATAAAAGTGCTATGTAAGAGAAGATACCTCCAAAATATGGCTCTATATGGTACAGTAGCTCCAGTTTAGGTACCTGAACTAGCCATTGATAGGATATATAACCAAGCTGATCAAGTTAATATATATATATACATACATACATACGTATCTATATATATGTGTGTGTGTATTGGGTGCTTTGGAAATTTGGGTATACGGTATACCCACAAAATTGCCATTTCAGCTCTACAACTTCTGCTGAGCGGCTTCGCTTTTGGTCAACATGTCAAAACAATACATAGTGCTTTTGAGCAAAACTGATAGATCATAGATTCTCCAAACCGAAACATGGAAATCACAAACCTTTGGGGCGTACAAAAAAAAAACATGGGACTTGAACAACCCCTCCTGCAGCACACCAGCCACTGAGCGAGGGGGATAAACCTGTCACCCCCTCAAACTTGGACAAGTGTCCAGCTTCATAACTGAGTAGCAACCATAGCTACAACCCAACTATGAAAGGTACAGGCCCGGTGATCTTTCTATAGAGTATTAACGTTTGGATCTATTTGTGGTGTACATCTAAGTAGTGAACGATTTGCCGTAAAACAAAATGCTTGGAACAAGCCCATGAGATCAATGTTCTATCATCCTGATGAGAAACAATAGAAAAAGTATCTCAGCAATCATCCAAGTCAGTGTGGTTATTCTTGATCCTGATCAGAAACCTGACAAGTGGATCCAAAGATCATCCAAGGGTTAATCCCTCCAAAGTTCATAGTATCCTATTAGTCCTAACATTATTCCATTGCCATTATTGGGAAAATAACTTCTTAGATGTTGGATGATTTTGGGGCTTATAACATGTTATAACCCACTTACATATAGGATACCCTCTGGTAATTTAATATAACTATGGAAAATCACCATTTTTAATGGGAAAATCCACTATTTCAATGGCCATTTTCAATAGCTATGTTAGTTTACCAGGCCGGGTAACCGTTACCCAACGGACACGTCGACATCCTGTAGGAAACCCCAACGGATCCCCTGTCGGATTCCTTAAAGACCTGCACGGCCTCCTTCAAGCCTTCGCCGGCTCGGAAACAAAATGCTATGGAAATGATCAAGATCTTGCAAGGTGGTGCCCCAGTTCGTTAGCTAAGTTGGTGCAAATAAGTCCCATTAAGCCGTTCTGGCCCAAGACCAGGGCGTGATCCCCGGATCTCCCACGTCACCAACGTTCACGATCGTGGGGGCTGTTACGAACAGGTGGGTTCAACCAATGGTGACATTGCTTTTCTTTTTGTTCTGGTATCCTCCTGCAATGTTCAGCTTTTGGAAACCACCTTTTCCAATTAGCTTTCTTCCCCCCGGGGTACATAGTTTGCCTTTTGCCGCGTTTGCGGTGCAGTCGCGGGCCATGGATTCCTGCCTCATTGACCATTCTCCGGAATCGCAAACCTACATGGCTAGAATCTTTGTGAAAGGCATTCCAGGTACCCGGATGATCAGTGCGGATGCGTCCTGGTCCATTGAGGAGGTCAAAGAGATTCTTCACTGCAAAGGTGATGTCAGACTTGCCACACATAGCCGTCAGCTTGCTCCTCATGAATTGATCCGGGATGTGTACCCGGGTGGTTGTGGTCACCTCCTTGTGCTACCTCGCTTGCGGGGCGGTGGGAAGTTTGCTACTTGGGAAAGCACGGCAGCCCGTCAAGGCCTTCGAGTTGCAGACTTGGATGATTTGATCTTTCCTTCTTGGGAAGGTGAATGCCGAATGGAGCATTGGCCAATTTCCATGGTTGAGGAGTCTTCTTGTGGCATCTCTTTTGCTACAATTGCATCTGCAGAGAAGGTTTCGGATGTGAGGACAGTCGGTCCTCTTATCCTGGTCATCAAGGGCTTTGACAATGAGAGGCTGGCAAAAATTGGTTTTGGGCCAGAAAGGCTCATTTGCACAAATATCGGAGTTCGAGATGAAGTAGCAAAGACCACTGAACTTAGAGCAGTTACTTTGGTCAACATGAGTGCTTCAGAAGATGACTTCGTTGAATTGCCAAAAGCCGACCATCTGCTCAGCGTTCAAACTGTGAACAGAATGCCGGTTTTTGTAGAGTTGAGACAGTCTGATGCAACTTCGAAAGACTGGACTGACCTCAGCAGCAGTGAGGCTTTTGAGGGATACGTCCGTATTTTGCTCCAAAAATGTGGCATGTGCGAGCAGACGGTTCGCTACAAGCCTTTCTCCCGGCAAGGCTATTGGTGCCAGCGTCTACAGATTCCAGCCGCTCACCGTGATCAACTTTATCGCATGTCAGGCCTCTCAAGTGTCCAGATCCGCGCAGTTCGTTCAATGACGGATCCTGCGGAAAGTGGGCTTGAAGTGTTGCGGATTGATGTTGACAAGACATTGGCTGTCCTGGCCGAAGAGTGCAAATTGAGTGGTGCTCTTGGATTTTTCCGGTCTCAAGGCAAGACATTCTTCCGGACATCAGATCCGACCATCGCTGCAGCAAGAAAGTTCTTCTATCCGGATGATGAAAGGTTCACCGTCCAGAACATTGGCATCAAGATGAAGCATTTCTATGTGGTAGAGGGTTTTCCCTTGGGGGTGGCTATCCGGGAGGTGACCGAAGCTTTGGAAAGCATCGGTTGGATAGCCATCCCGGTTCGCATCACGAACCTCCGACAATTGTCCAGGGTTCTTGCGGCAGGGGCAGACCCGCCTGCCAAATTGAAGTATTCAACCAGCATTGGCATGCTCCATTTGACTTTGGCCGAGAAGCCGGCTCCAACTCAGAAGGGAAGTGCCGTCATTGCTCCTACTCCGTCCCGGCCACGGTCATTTCAGCAGACCCCTGCCAGCAAGGAATGGCCCAAGAGGGAGAGAGTTGCTCCACCGCCCATATCTACACCTTCCACGGTGTCCTCATCTTCAGGACCAGTCAGCCAGAATGCTCCATCAACCAGCCTGGCCACACTGGTCACGCAGCTCGAAGCCCAACTTGGCACAGTTCAGTCAGATGTGAAAGGGCTCCGTACCAGCCAGGAGATGCTCGAAAAGAACCTTGTGGACCTTGGCCATCGCCAAGATCGGGGATTCACAGACTTGATGGCAGCCATCCAGGCCTTGAGCGCAGAGTCCTCTTCATCTCAGAAGGCATCACCGGCAAGAAAGAGCTTGAAGAAGTGATGGGTTCTTGTACGAAACCGGCATTTGAGGCGCATGTGCCATGTCCGCTGGCGGCTTTCGATGCATTTCCAGCGTTGCTGAGCATGTGTAAAAGATTGTCGGTGGTTATTTTGTTTTTCTGCTTCACGGCGGTGCTTGGTATGTTTTGTGGTTGATGTGTTGTTTGAACCTAGCTGGCTGGATGTGTGTCAAGCCTAGGAACTGCATCCGGGCAGCGTCTGTGATCCATTTGCATCTTCTGAAAAAGCCATCCTTGGTCGTCCTTTCTAAGAGGGAAGTCCCCCGAGGTAAGAGGAGTTCTGTTAGTGCCAAAAAAGTCCGCAGACTTCTCCGGGCAAATCGGATCAAATTAAGATGCTGCCTCGTTAGATTGGGACTGGCGGGGTTAATTCATAATTCTTTTTCACCCAGCACTTTCAACGCCTTCTGGTGCAACGATGCTATGTGCACTGGAAATGCAGGGGCGGGAAGTCAAATTAATCACATTTCATTGCAGAGATCGCGAAACGCTTCACTAAGCGTATGGTCTCTCAGCGAGAGCAGGAAATGTTGCATTTGTTTCTTTGATTTGAATTATGTCCATTGTGTGTCGTCCTCTGTGGTCCTTTGGTCTCTTTTCTCTCCGTGCAAAGGTTATCCCGGTGAAGGCCCTCTTTGCTTTGGTTCTGCTAATGTTACTTCTTTGGGTAAGAATGTGAAAAGTGTTGTTGCAATATGTGCTGACGAAACCACTCCCGATTTCATGTGTCTCCAAGAGACACGACTTCACCCTCTCAAAAGCAAGAATCTTGTATCCAAATTGCGAACGCAAGGCTTTACAGTTTTGATTGGCCCTCAGCCGGTCATTAAGAGGACTGTTAGCCGGCTTCATGCACCTTGCCGACGTCAAACACATGGGGGGATCGCGATCCTGGCCCGCAATACTGTAGCTTTGCAACCGCTCTTAATTCCTCAAGATTTTGGCTTGGAAAAAGCTGCGCAGGCATGTACTTGTACAGCTGGTTCTTTCACTTGTCGAATCATCAACGTATACCTACCCTCCGGTCAACGCCATGTTTCAAAGAGGTCTGAGATTATGACTCAGGTATTTCTGTTTGCGGCTAGTCTCGGTGATGGTCCCACTTTTATTTGTGGTGATTTTAACTCTAGCCCCTCAGCCAACCAAGCTATTTCAGAGGCGATTCGTACCGGAGAGTGGGTTGATGTCATTGCAGATGAGTATGCTGCTGCCAACCTTCCACCCCCATTCACGTTTCAGAGGGGAAAAGGGAGGCGGCGGTGTATGTCCCGTATTGATTATGTTCTTGCCAATAGTGATGGCTGCACTTTCTTCAAGAAAAGTTGGATTCAACAAAAATCCGGCCTTCCTGATCATTGCCCGGTTGGGCTTCATTTGGTGATTCCTAGCGCTGTCGACAAAGCTTTTACAATTCCTTCCAGTTCAAGACGTATTTTCCCACCAAAACCTAGCTGCCTTGACCAATGGGCCCAAAGGGATTCCATATGTGAACCTATACTCCGTGAGTTTGCCCCGAAAGTCGCAGAAAGTGCCGAATCCTTAGATGTGGAGCTTACTTGGAGCTTGGCATGCCAGGCTGTATCATCGATGTTAGATGCTATTTCCGGAAGCGCTGGTGTTCAGAAAGGTTTTTTCCCCAGGTTTCAGGTCACCCCTGTTGTAAATAAGCCCAAAGAAGTCGCGCTTCGAACAAAGCGAATTGCTCGCATCTCTGCTCTGTTCCGGGAAATGATCAGAAAGGCTTCTGTTTTTGAGTCCAATATTTCCTTTGCTTGGCGAAATTCTTATAATCAAACCCTTCATAAGTTGGAGCGTGAACTCCAGGCGGTTTGCTTTCCTTTCCCTGAGGGTTTCTTGTCAGAACGAAAGAATTTTTCAAGTGATTTCCAAACCTTCCAAGGTTGGGATCAGAAGTACGACCAGAAAGTCAAAGCTTCAGGGCTGAGGGCCTGGCGAAAGAAGCTGCGTATTTCAAACGCAGCCGACAAAAAGTTGGTACACAGGTGGTTGAAAGGTTCTTTCGCTACAGTGCCGCGACTGATGCAGCGAAGTGACGGTTCCTTGTCCGGATCGGTATCTGAAATGCTGGAATCTGTTTCAGACCATATGGAAAGTGTATACAATCAACACATGGAATGGGATACCCCTTCCCAGATTGAATATTTTCGCGAGAAGTATCGGGATTCAATTTCTCAAACGTTCTGCGAGGCTAGTGTTCCCAGTTTGAATGAGCAAGATTTTTGGGATTTGTGTCAAAGCAAGTCCCCTACCAAGGCTTCCGGTCTTGACATGTGGTCATATCGGGAACTGCAGCAACTTCCTGTGTCAGCTTGGCAGCTCTTTGTCCTTGTATGCAAACTAGTTGAAGCTGTAGGTGAATGGCCGAACATTGTAAAGTGTATCACTGTGACATGTTTGCCTAAAAAGGACGGACCTGTTTTGAACCCGAATCAGATTCGCGCCATTGGTGTCAGCAGTGTTGTCTATTCTTTGTGGTCTTCCCTCAGATTTAGACATTTATCGACATGGATGAATTCAATCGCCCCATCATGCCTTCTAGGAGGGATACCCGGGCGGAGTGCTGATTCCCATGAGATCGACTTGTCCCTTGAATTTCATGAACATGACCAGAATCCTGATCCCATCGCCATATTTTTAGATCGTGCAAAATGTTTTGACATGTTGGTACCTGATTTTGCTGTTCAGATAGCTTGTGACATTGGGCTTCCCCTTAACGTAGCGAGGGCTTTGACTGGTTTTTATCGGGGCCAAATCAAGATATTCAAGATTGGACGATTTTATGGGCGGAAGGTGTTTTCCAAAAACAGTGCCATTCAAGGTTGTTCTATGTCAATTTTAATGGTAAATGCGTTCTATTCCATTATGACCAGGGCCATGACCAACCAGTTTCATCATGTCTCCATTGCGACCTTTATTGATGATGCAAAAATATGGGGTTCCTTCCACTATGTTGATGAAATTGCTGGAGCGTTTGAATTTGTGCGGCAATTTGATAAAGACATTGGTCAACAACTCAACCCCCAGAAAACTGAAATCCTGGCTAGAAGGGTCCTCAAAGGAAAGCTGTTGAAGCAGAAAATCCAACTCCCAGTTCAGGTTTCTTCCCAGGTTAAATCACTAGGACGTGTTCAACAGATGAATAAGTGCCGTAACGCTACAATGCAATCAAACCGTGTAGCAAAGGCGAGCGACTGTCTTAAAAAGATTCGACAGTTGCCACTGTCCCCTCCCCAGAAGTCTGTGTACATTCATGCACATGCCCACTCCAAATGGGTGTTCGGTAGTGAAACACAGGGCATCCCCAAGAAAGATCTTCAAAAATTGCGTACGCAAGTGTGTGATATTTTTGACCCCTCATCTCACAACATGCGGTCACCTTTTGCTGTCATGGCTACATTGGAGGATGTATTTCTGGATCCGTTTGCAAACTGGGCATGTCATGTCTTGAACCATGCTCGCAAACTCGTCAAATTCCACCCAAATATTGCAAAAAGGGCGTTAGGAGCTGTTCTCAGAGATCCCACGCCGAAATCAGGAGCCTGTCATGGTTTTTCAAATGTGCTGTCGTATATATTGTCTGAGTTGAATTGGGCAGTTATATCACCTGATGATTTCACAGTATCCACACCTCATGGGTCATTCCCCTTCAGCGCATGGAGCGACCAATATTTTTCTGGTATTGTCGCTTCTTCCGTTAGAACTTATCTTTTCAAGCAGCAGCCGGTGCGCCAAGAAACATGCAGGATTCCTGAAGGCCACTTGCTAGACATTTCACTCACGAGGTTCTTGTTTGATCAAAAGATGAGGAGCGATGAAGAGTTTGATTTCCTCAAGCCTCATGTTGACAAAATCCCCCGAAGTTGGGCCTACAGTAAGAACCTGCTGCGGATGGCACAGACGGGCCGTGTTTTCACTTCCTCTCGGCTTCATGCTGCTGGCTTGGCCCCGGATAATTTGTGCATCTCGTGTGGGGAAAAGGAGACTGTGAGGCATTTGTTTTGTGATTGCCCGGCTTATTCCAGAACGAGGCCTGCGCCAGTCGAGCCTGGTCATGACGTCACTATGTTGACAGGGGTTGTGTTTTCTCCCCCTTTTCAGTTCGACTCATGTTGTCTCACGTGCCCCGAGCGACCGGGTGGGCCTTTTTTCCCGACTGAGATTGTTTTTATTGATGGGTCTTGTTACAAAAGCAATTGGCACCAGGTTGCCACGGCTGCGTCAGCACATTTTCTTTCCACGGAGTGCAATTTTGCGTGCCTCCTCCCCACGCAAGATTGCACGAGCCAGAGGTCGGAAATTTTTGCAGCAGCATTGGCGTTGTCACATTCCAGTGGTCCTATCACCATTGCTAGTGATTGTTTGACGGTTGTTCGAATTTTCAAAAGGCTTCAAGATGCTGATTTTTCTCGCGAATGGATTCACAAGTTGGACAACTGGGATTGCTGGAATTTGGTTTGCTCCGTTGCGAAATCTCGTCCTGGTAGGGTGCATATCATAAAAGTAAAGGCCCATTGTACGGCAAAGTCTAGTCAGGATCCATATCTTACGTATGGAAATAGCATGGTGGATGCAGCCGCTAGGGCTGTAGCTAGAGATGCGTTTAGAGCCAAGCTCGAACCTTACCGTAAGTTGATCACAGTGGCTGTGTCATGGCAATGCCATATCATTGCCACGCTGGGCGAACGATGTGCGTGCCAATTTTTGTGCCCGTCAGACCAACCTCCGAGTGATCCAACCCCTTCACACCTTTTTCCTGAGCAGTGTAACAGTGAATTCTTGACCAAGTGTGAAAACGGGACCGTTCGCCCGAATGACTTCGACAGACTCTGGGACGGTTATCAAACTTTTCGGGATTCTTTCACCTCTGTCATTGTTCAACCCCATGTCTTTCCTCAGCTGGACCAGCGGAATGCTAGGTCTAGGTTGCAGAATTATTCTGGTGAGTACTTCCAGGCTTTGTCTAGGTACACCCAGGATGTCTGTGTAGAGTTTCTGGTCAATCAGCAAGGGCCCAAAGTTCCATGGGTCTTGGTGTTTTTTGACTTTGTGGGTTGTTATCCTGATTTACCCGAGTGGGTTGACGGCAAGAAACTTCAACATTTTTTGAATCAATTCAAGACCCGTTTTCGCCGTTTCTGCAAAGGAAAATTCACTTCATATCATCATTGCATGAATCTCCGCGACCTCTATTTTGGGAGGATGAGTGGTTTTGTTGGGTTGTTCAAACCCGTCTCTATTCACAAAGTCACTTTCCTGAGTGTTCATTCTTCTGCTCAAATTGGCTATTCAGGTGGGTCTCCCTCTGGTAGAGGTCCTGGTGTGTCCTGTCGGTCCATTGATATTCCCTTCTCTGTCCTCAGATCATTTCCTGCTTTCGCTGATTAATTGTGCTTTCGTCGCCTTGCTGAGTTTCGCGCGCGGCACTCAGAGTATCAGGCTGCAAAAAACAAATAAGTCCCATTAAACCTATGGTTTATGGCAGATATAACTATAGTTAATGGGGTTTATAAACCCACTTATAACTGGGGGCACCATCCTGTGGATTCCAGAAATTCATCCAATTCATCCACTGATCCAAAATCTACAGCTACAGCTACCCTCCGGAAAAAACTCACATCAGCTATCGAAAATCTATCGAAAATCTATCCAAATTTTATTCATATTTTCATAGGTAAAGATCGTAAATCATAGGTTAAATCGACTAGAAACAGCCATATTCAATAGGTTTTCCATTGGTTTTCTCCTGAGGCTCCACCTCCCCGCCTTCCGATGTCACCATCTCGAAGGCCGACATCACCGTCTTGAAAGCGTTGCGACGCCTGGGGCCGCTGGAGGCGCCAGGGGAGCCTCCCTGGGAGACCCCGTTGGGGGATGTCATGGGGCATTTCAGCTGCAATTTTTCTCAAAAGTTGGGAATTTTTACAGTAACTGAGCCAAGGAAAAATACGGGGGCTTGACGATTCAACCAATTCAATCCATGAATTTGAGGTCGATGTCACATGATTTCCCGAACTTCGTGATTTGAGGTCCCCGATTTCGGGCTATTGAACCATAAATGGGAACATAATTTATGTCATGGGATGTAATGGAAGAAGAACCAACAGCATGATATGCGTGCTTATCAAAAAATGGGACCCTTACAACTTTTACCAAAAAAGAGGATCTAGCCTAGCCAAACTTGGATCCAGCCGACCACAACTGGGGTCCCTACCCAAAAACTTGTGACATAGGTTCGTCCAAAATCTGGGAATAGCCAAATTTACCATGGGATTTTGGATACCCTACTTTCGGACACACTCTTGCGGAATAGAGAATCCAAGAATAATCATATCTTGAGTGGATGGCTGGGTAGATGACATCCCTATGTTTGCTGACCGTATCCCCATGCTTTTCGGTCTGGTGGAAACATGTCAAACCCTCACTCTTGCTGTTTCTGTTACCTTACCAGCGGTACCAATGGTCATGCAAGGCCAGTTTTGCAGCGCCCAAAATCCTTTGTCAGCTCAATATCATCCCCACTCATTACAGCCACATATCTAGACATATAGAATAGTATGCTGAAAATAGCCCATCTAACCACCAAAAACTATGCCTTGCTCCTGGATTTGGCAAGTTGCCAGACGTTGCCCAGATTTTGCAGCTGCAGCATGGCGAACTGGATCCGTTCCGTGCGAATGGAGTTCACCAGGAGCCACGCTGCCACCGCCAGCAGCCGGCCGCGTTCGCAGGAGGTCCAGCTGCCGCCGGGGCCCTGCAACTTCTGCTCGATGCCGGCCAGGGCCAGGTCACGACCTGGGCGAAGTGGACTAGAAATGCTGGGGGAAGTGGACGGAAAAGTTGGAGCGCTAGGAAAATGAGGAATAGAAGAAGCGAAAATGGGGATTGAACCGGGAAAAAGGTGGATTGAAGCAAAAACCAGGTGGAGATGAAGCAAAAATGTTGGATTAAAGCAGAAAAATTAGCATTCAATCAAGAAGATAGGGACGAAATGAATAAGAAAAAAGAGAGATTTACCTTGTCAAAAATGGAGTCAAGGCTGACAAAAGATGCAAATATCTTAAAGCTGGGATATGGCAGTGCTGGGGATCTGATCAGCAATGGGGGAATTCGAGAGACCTGTATGCCATGGAGAGTTTTCCTCTTTGTAGCAGCCATCAGTTGTGGGCTTTGGCCGGCCATGAGGTTGCTATGAGTTACATCCACACATTAGGGATGTCCCAAACAAGGAACTCCTAGCCTTCCCTCTCCGACCTATTTGTGTATGGGTTCAAGTCATTGATTCCCCACAAATGGATGTCCAACTGTCTCAATCTTCAAATGTCACCCATCCTCACGTGTTTTTCCAATATTTCCTGGTTTTGACCCCTTACTTGGAGGATCATCCCACTAAGTGGTGAATAACCCTGGTGACCCTAAGCCCCTTGGATTAGCCCATTTATAAATGGCTATAATGTGGATAAAACAACGCCATTTTTACCACCCATTTTCCTGGGAATGGTAACCATATCACCTATCAAAATGGTGATGACTCGGGGATGGTGCAAATGGCCCATTTGGCATTGTTTTACCCACATTATAGCATTATATAGCAACTTCCAAATAGATAGAAAAGTAAACCATCACTTACTGATTGGAATTATATATATATATTATATATATATATTATATATATTATATATTATATATATTATATATATTATATATATATATTATATGTACGTGTCTATCTGCTTATAACCCCAGTTCCTAACCATCTGCTTGTCAAGTCCCATGGTTTTTCCTGACATCTCCCAGCAAGTGGCTAATCAGCTCGACCACTTCGGGGATGACGTACAAACAAATGCCTCGGATCCGGAGATGGGCCATTTGGAAATGGAAACGTTTAGATAGATAAATGAATATAGTTAAATATATATATAATTATATATATATTTATATAATTATATACATATATATATATATACATACATATATCTACACGTATCTAGATATACACATATTATATCATACTTTAGTGAATATTTAAAATGACAAAACTAGAAATAATGTCAAACGATGGTCAAACAACCAGTGAGAAAGTGGACGCACGCAGTCCGTAGCTCTCAACATGTCAGGGGAATATCCCAGTTTCCCATTCTCTCCTGCATGGCCATACATGGCTGGTACACCCACATGAGGAGTCCAAGTAAGAGGATTTTCCAGCGACTATTCACATGATGACCGATTATTGTTATCATTATTGTATAGTTGCCATCTGGTTATGACTAACATAGCCATGGAAAAAAAAACACCATTTTATAGCTAGGTAAACCATCTATTTCTATGGGCCATCTATTTTCCATGGCTATGTTAGTCATAACCAGAGGGGATGCATCAACTGATGGCCATCATCCATCGGGTCCCTGGATGGTGCCACCTGAATCTCTCTCTCCAACATCCCAAAGCTAGGACAGCTAGGATTTATAGCACATCTGACATGTTCTATGTGCTAGTAGTATTAGTAGTCTACTGAAAATGATTTTTGTTTTTCAATTTGCAACTATTGTTCTTGTAAAAATATGTTTTTTGAAATAAGATCAACGTGTTCTGTGGATCTTCAGTTTCCATTCATGTTCCGCGTCCGAGTCACGTTGACCTCGACCAATGCCTCGCATTCGATAGGCGCCTTGCACATAGTCGCGCCAACACCTTGATGCTGTCAGATTCCAAGCTTCTTGAGCCATGGTGATTTGGTGGTAAAATGGCAGGTGATCCAACAAGATCTTCATCAATATCATCAATATCTTCAGATGTTCACAATTCTCAGACACAGATCAACCACGGGTAATCGAAGTCTTGTGGGAAAGGTTTTATTTTTTTCTTCTGGAACCTGCTGTTGTTGAGCCCAAAGTATTTTCGTTGCCTTGACCTTTCTATGAATGGTCAATTTTGAAAGGCCTCTCTTGACAGAGTTTGGTGACACTTTTCCGGACCACTAGTAGTGGGTTTGGTGGTTCCCAGGTTGCTATTGTACGTCTCGTCTGAAAATAGACTCATGACCGAAATCCACTTGGTTTTCATTCAAATTGTGCCTTTCAAATTTGCCATTTTGGGAGTGTTACGACCTCATTTTCACACCCAAGTCACCTTGTAATGGTGCTTATATATCCGATTATAAACCCAGTACCATTACACATTCATCTATTGGTACCCCCATATTTGTTGCTACCCAGAATTTTCGAAAAATGTTGGAATCATAGAGCCAGATATTCTCCATTGTATCCCATCATTGCTGCTTACATCCCCTATCAAATCCTCAAAGATCAAGAATGGTTGGTTGTGTATCTCATTATGTATATATATACATAAATATATATATATATATTCATATGTATATATATATATATTATTATATATAGTATGTATATATATATAGTATGCATATATATATATTCCCATTCCATCTCCCTTCAGGTTGGTTATATCCCCATGTATTTTCTCCAACAGTAACCATCTCTCTTGTTGTCGCCATGGATGGTTTTGCCCAGGCACATGTCTTTGCCCAGAGTCAATGCAGCCACTGCGTCCAGTTTGTGTTGGATATCCATCCCCGTGGTGTGCACCTTGCCGAAGGTCCGAGTGGAAATTTCAGAGTGGTCAGTGACTGGGAGAAAAAAACTGCCACTGGTGAGACCTGATGTTAAAAAAGGTGAGACCTGATTGAGCAGCGTTACAATCAGGTCTAGAAATCTGACAGCAACATGATGTAATCTTCCACTTCTGAGGATTTGCAAACCTCCAACTCCAATGCGGTAAAATTAATAACCCCATTTTCTGAAGGTTTGCTGTAAACATCCCGAAATCACAATATGGGGCATGAATGGCTATGAATGATATGAATGGGTATTTTCATGGGTATGGCTTCTACGGCATGCTCAACAACAAACCAGCTGGCATCAGCCCTCTCCACATTTTTGTTGGTAAAAAATCCTCATCTTCGTTGGATCATTCACCATATTCGTTGTATAATTCCTCATCTGTTGAATGACAATTTGTCCGTCCGTTTGCTGTAAATCTATCCCCATGAATATTTCAGTTGAAAAACCGTTCCAGATCATGGTAATAATTTTATGGGATAGTTCTGAATTGTATCCCCATGATTGTTCCATTCTTCCAGATCATGGTCAATAGTATAGTCCCCTCACTCAAAACATGCCTGGAAACTCCACCATTTTTCGTTCGACCGTCTGCAGGAGATTCCAGAAACTCCCGCCGCGGATTTAAAAATGACTCCACTATCATTCGCACTGGGCCTTGTTGATTAAAAACTACATGAAAAGAATAGTGATGTTATGCCCTAACTGATAATGATCATTATCTTCATCATTGTCATTCTTGCATTATTGTCATTAAATATCGTTAAACCATATTGAACAATGTTAAACCATGTCAAATCTTATAATGTTCAGTATTGTTGCTCTATAAGCCTCCAAGTACCCATGAAATGAGCAAGAGTCCCAACATAATATGTACATTACGGACCCGATTTTTGTGGGCTCTAGTATATTCACATTCGCATTGTCCCAAGCTTCATAGAAACCCAGCAACAATGATAAATATCATTGCACCTATAATATCCAATAGTTTGTGATTAATCGGATTTGATTTATCCATTGATAGCCCCATGATATTCTGATTGATGGCCAATTTCCCATGGTTTTCCTATGAAATAATTGTAATCATCGTGGTACCAATGGCTATTTCACAAAAAGTCCCATACAATTATCATTTACCCGCAATTATTCATGTAACGTATACATATATATATAACATGTTTTTACCCAATGCCATAAACCATCCCACTAACCAACCACGGCTGGGGTCATTTGAATAATCATCCCATAGATTGGGTATAATTACTCAATTTCATAGACCTGAATTGGGATGGTGCAGATGGCATTGGGTGAATCCCACATTACACCATTTCCCTCTTGAATCCCTATACTATTACAGTAAATCCCTCCAGAACCCCTATGATATAAATCCCTATCCTCTCCCATGATGTAACATGAATCCCGATTACAAAAAAAACACAGTATATACCCAGCTATATTTGATTATAATATAATGGTGTATCAAGATTTAGATTTGAATATATTTGAGTATCCCACTAAATATCACAAATAGATACTAAGTATCCAGATATTCATTTGTTGGTTTGTTAAATGCCATTCAATCACAATTTTGGGCAGTTAAATTCCAAATCCCTCATCCCATGATTATCGAGATATATCCAGATTTTTAGAACCTGTTTTGATCCCACTAAATATAACATATAGATACCAGATACCCTCCAGTAAATGAACATAGACCCTGGCATTTTTCGGGGTTGCAAGATTAGCTTCCACTAAAAAGGGCGAATTTCCACTAGATGTCAGACACCCTTCCAGCCATTTCCCACAAACATCCCCACCTGGTCATAAAACGCGAAGCGCTTCTGTGCCGGCACGCCGCTGTCTGCCAGCTTCGTCACCTCCCGGGTGGCGCGCAACCTGCGTGGGATGTAGCGGAAAACCTTGGTTGAACTGGGTGAACTTCGAAAATCAGTATAACTTCGTTAACTTGCAAAGTTGAGGGAACTTGGAAAAGTTGGGCTGCACAACTGTATAATATATATATTATGATTATTATGTATATATAATATTATATATACATAATAGTTATACATATAATATATTATACATAACTATATATATATTGTGTGTGTGTGTAAAAGTAAGCTTTCAAGTGGGACACTGTGTGTGATTGGCAAAGGTGGGGATTAATTTTTACCAGCAAACATGAGTCCACCTGGAGGATCAGTGCTCTACTATCCCAAAAAACAGCTGCTATTTTTTTCTCTGGATCACATACACCAGTGCGCTGTTCAACCAACAGAATATTAACCAACAGATAAACCAATTTTTTGGGATAGTAGAGCACTGTTGGTTAAACCAATATACACTGTTGGTTGAATCATCAATTTTGGGAATATCAACCAACAGATATTTGATGCTTGATTTGTCTTTAAATTCTCCGGGACTCCAACAGATTGGACTCGCCCCTTGCCGTCAAGGGACAAAATCTTCTTGCCGCCATCATCGTCCAAAAAGACCACCTTAGTCAGTTGGTCACGGGTAGGACGGGACAAAAAAATAGGGATGGCCATAAATGGGAGGTACCCCGAAAGGGATGGTTTACCATGGAAAATCCGAAAATCAAATGGATGACGCAAGGGGGTACTGATTTTTTTTTTTGGAAACCTCCAAAGCCCAGTGTGGTGTCATCCCTATCTGATGTCTTCCTGTGCGCTCAGCATTCTCGGACAGAAAAATGAAAGGATGAGCCATCGGATGTGCGGGCACCCACAAAGGATCCCGCACCAAACAAAGCCATATTAGGAGGTTTGAAAAAACAGCACTGGCCTCCACCCCCAAAAAGTATACCTGCTCTCTGAACCCAAAATTTGGGGCTACCAATCAATCATCCATTTTGTATGTTCGGATCCATGGAAAAATCCACCATTCGGATCCATTCGGCTACTGGGATCCCCCATCAAAATGGAAACCACCTACTATTCTTCCAGCCATCCCGCGCCATCCAAGCGTCTCCGTCCACGGTGTCCGGCAGGGATGGCGCTGACCTGCCAATTTCGGAAAGCCCGCGGAAAAATCAACGAGGCTTTATTAATCTGTGGTTCACTTTTATAAGGTGATCATCTAATCATAAATGTCCAAAACAATTGTATCAAACACATGTTTTTCTGGATGATATCTCAAGAGATAACGATAAAGTAACACACATCCGTAGTGTTTATTGTAGCCCCAAGATTCGCAGAGGCTGTTTCCCCCTGTAGGGGACCTTCGCGAAGCTTCGGCACTAACCACTAGTGCCACTCTAGGGCAGTGGGCAACCTGGGGTGACGATATGTCCCCATTCAGCAGTGCCCCCCGCGATGGTTGCCTCTTGGCCAGTGTACTGGCAAACAGTACCATCAATGTTCTCAGACTATGTCTCAGTCTTTTGACATCAATTGTAGCGAACATTCCACTGGTATGACACGTTTTGCTGCTGTTGATACAATTTCAATGCTGAATCAATCTTGGTTGCTCGACTAGGTGGTTACCCCACAAGTGATGAAATACTATTAAAACCTGGTGCCCCATCTCAATACGTAAACAAACCAGGGGTCAATACTCCTAGATAAAATGGCATGTTCCCACTTCTTTGACGATCTACAATCCTTCTAGTCCTGGACATGATTATCCTTATTATCCCATATTTTCCAAGAAAAATATACCAGCCATTTATTTCGTCCCCAAACCCAAATCCACCATCCATCCCCGGTTTTCAAACGGCAGCCCAAACCTATGAACCACGCCTGGCAGATGGGCTGCTCCCACCAGGGCCGGCAGACTCGCTGCGGGGGCCGAAGCCCAGAAGATATTCAGCCACCTGACCAGCGACCAGCCAGTCTTCTAAGATGGCCAAATTCCCCAAGTTACAGAAATTTGCTACCAAATTCTTGATGATTTAGACGAATTGGGCTACCAAATGTCCAATTTAAGGGCTTTTGTTGGGGGGATTTGGACATAAAAAATGACCCAGCAAACATGGGAAGTTTAAACACGTACGGACATGCGTTTTGAAACATGCTTCAGACCAGAAATGTTGCAGGGCTACACACTAGAATTGCCTAAGATGTGGGAGTCAACCAATAAATAGGCTATCAGCGATGCTGCCTCTCTCAACTAACCACACGTTCATGAATTTTCAGGGTTGGACACTCCTCCAATAGCAAGCGACCTGCCAGCATCCAAGCTGCACGTCTTTTGGGACATCTGAGTACTAATTGTATTAAATATTGATTACTCAATTGAGCAGTGTTCAATTGTCATTTCATTTGCTGGTTGGTTAAGAACGGGATTTCCATACTGAGTGAATGACAATCCATATGTTTGATACTATAATCCTCTACAATCATCAATCAAGCACGTTCAAAAACGCTGGCTGCACCTCCCAACCGCACCCCAAAGCCTCCAAGTGCCACATCCCTCCACTTGCAGATGGGTCCATGTGGGTAACTACTTGATTAACGATGGCACTGTACATGGACCGTAAGCCATGACGGATCATTACAACAATACCTTGCAATTCATTTGCCATCCAATCAACTGACTGGTCAGTGTAACAAACGGGTCATAAATACAGAACAACAAATGCCTACAATCCATCATAAATGCGTTGAATCCGGTTAGATCCCTATAAATCCATACTAAATCCGTGTCAAACCCATGGCAAAGCCCAATGAAAAATCCCCATGAAATCCCATCCGTGGCCTCTTGATTCGTCAAGCCCGTGATCAGCGCCCCGGTGTCGATCAAGGCATTGCAACGGTTCTGGTGGGACGCCTCGATGATGCTGTCCAACAGCAGCTCCACGTTCCAGCCTGTCAGCAACGCTATGGGGTCACCATGATATTACCCATTGAAACAACAAAAAACGTGAAGATCTAAGGAAGACACACCCAATTATGGTATAGAATGATATAAACTATGTGCATATATATATAGAGAGAGAGATAGGTATAGATATACATAGTACATATATAATGAATAATGATGAGGAAACACGTGGTTCATTTACTTGGTGCTTAATATGACCAACGAAAAAGGGGGGACCAATGACCAAGGCCAAACGATATAGAGATTGGAAGGGGGCCCAATATTCAGCCAACTGCTTTCCAGTATATGCATTGATGAGAAAAATAAGCATCCTCTAGTTGCTACAGTACTATATCCATTACCCTCTGGCAAACTAACAGGTTGCTATGAAAATGGCCATTTAGTTCGTTGATTTACCCATGAAAAATGGGGATTTTCCATCGTTTTTTGTTAACGTTTACCGTGTTTACCAGAGGATATCAGATGGCGGGAGTTCGATCGCCTGGTTCGATGGCTTCAAAGGTAACCACCTGGCCAGGGGCCGGTGCCATGGCCACACCGCTGGTCGTGCTTAGGACTTAGCCTTTTTTCAATGTTTAAAAGGATCATCTTTAGTATCTAACCAGCATTGTTGAAGGAATATATATAGGCTAACTTTGAGCCATTTCATATTATTGACGATGGTTGTAATATGTTATAATAATGTTCTCAAAACATCCTAGTGTAATATCAAGTGTTATATATATATAATTGCATGTGAAAAACCGTTGATGTTTATTTCTGGGTTTACCACATCAATCCAAAAAAGGAAAAGCTGTCTATAAGTTGGTGGAGGTTGTGTTATGGGGATCGTTCCTAAGAACCAAGCTGAACCTTATATGCAATCAACAATAGCCAATGTGTACATATATAGCCTATATTATAGCCAGTCTGTATCTTGCAAAACAATGTGTAATATATATATAGCCTATATAGCCAGTCTGTATCTTTAGATTGCAAAAATCCACCCTGTCGCCAATTCACCAATTCACCAAGACATTGATGGACGATGATATCGATGGTATGGTGGTCCCGTAATGGTATTTTAAAGCCCGCAAGACCTCAAAAACTGGAGCTTGTTTGAACATCAGGCGATACTCCTTAAAACAGTCATATATCATAACAATATATCATGGATCTATCATGATATATACCATGATATATCATGATAATGATATCTCATGATATATAACAGTATTAGTATTATGTTTATATCATGGATCATCCATGAAAATTGGGTCACTCAATGTTTCTACCCAGGCCAGCCCCGCCCCGCCCCGCCCCATTCTTCGCTCGCCTTGGTGTCCGTCATCGTGCTGACCATCTCTCCTTCGCTTCCTGGCACGGCCATGGATCGATGATTTAGCTAAGTTGGTGAACATAACTCCAATGGTCCATTGGTTTATGATACGCAAATAACAATAGTTAATGGATGTTAATGGGGTTTATAAACCAACTTAGCTATAAGTGGGGGGGGCCCACATTGTAGGTAATTTAACATTGCTAGTAAAAATGGCCCATTGAAATAGTTGATTTACCTATATAAAGATGGTGATTTTCCATAGCTATGTAAACGTTTACCAGAGGGTAATGTAGGGAAAACAATGACGTAAACCACCCATGACTGGGAATGGTAAACATACCACCTATAAAAATGGTGATGACTGGGGGATGGTTTGTTATTGTTTTACCGACATTATAGCATTATAGCATTATATAGCAACCTCCAAATAGATAGAAAAGTAAACCATCACTTACTTATTGGAATTATATAATATTATATATACGGGTCTATCTTTTTTGGGAGAGCTATATCGAAAAAATTGTGATTGTCCATGGCTGCGTGAAAATACCAGATGGTATTCTGGGGAAATGTCCCCAGTATTGATGGTCAAACGACCCTGTTTTTATGGTTCTACGTTCTAATTCACATGTTCTAAGCGATTCTAACCATCACCCAGCAGCAATCTTACCTGGCGTTGTAGTGAGTTTGTTATCCATTATCCAAATGGGTTTGTCTGAAAATATGGTACCTCTGAATCCATCGGTTAATCATCATGTTCCTATCAAAAAGTACCATTTGGATCCATTTGGGGGGTATACACCATTTTCAGACAGACCCAAAATGTATGTGAAAGGCTTCGTTATCACCTGTCACGTGTTTCACATTGTTTCACCTCCGCTTTTTTTACATTCCACCAGAAGAGCTGTTTGCGAAATCCCTTAACTTCTATACACTTGGAATTCATAGACCAGCCAACATCCGATATGATGGTTGGAATCCACTAGGTCACTAGGAATTGAGATGGATCCCCACAACACCCTCACCCAACAGGATCTGCATATGTCCTCTATGAAGATCGCCGTTTTTGTGGAGGGTTCATTAAGTGATGTCTAAAACCTCCCCAAGAGAGAAAATATCAGGACCCGAAAGCGCAAGAAATCTCGCAGAATCATCGATCCAATTAAATCAACATACCACTTTTCATAGTCTCATACAGTAACCCGATCCCTATCAAATTCACATCAAATCACCCTGAAAATCCAGATAAATCCATGATTGGGGACCCCCTCCAAAAAAGCCCCAAGGCCGCCCTCCAAGCAAGCCCCAAAAAAGCCCAAAAAGAAAGCCGCGTAAAATGTTCGGGGCCTGGTTCATAGTCACATTGTCCCAGCTCTCGTGGCATCAAATCACTGGGCGTGCCGCTGAAGCCGATGCGCTGCCCGAAGAGAATGGAGCCGCCCAGATCTTGCCCACTGGCCTTGGTGCTGGGATCCGGGCAAAGCAACAGTGGTGGATGTCTGGGGGAATGTATGGCGGTATAGAGGTGAGTAACATTGTTAGAAATTCTATGACTATAAAATGATGGTTAAAAGGATTTGGATTATTAGGATGGTTGGGATGATTATAATGATTATAATGATGATAGTAGGAAGAAGGAAAGGAGCAAAAAGAGAAGAGAAGGAAAAACAGAATTGATTGTGCTAATCATACTCGGAAGTATAATAGCCTGGGACAAAAAGTGTATAGAATGATTTTTGCCGACGAAACAAGTGGTCACTTGTAAAATCCACATGTTTGAACGAGTGGTCACCTTTGAAATGCCCTTGTTCATTACCTAGATCCCCTTTCATATCTGGGTTTGTTTTAAAACGGAGTACCCGTAAATCCGTGGCGTCGTCATCATCATCACCATCAACATTGCCATCAAATTGGAGATATACACCTTGTTTAGGCAAACCAAAATAGCGTGTTGAATTGGAAGAGTTTATATATATATATCCCATGCTATAAGCCCCACAAAACTGGGAGCATTGAATCCCATCCCATGAACTTGTGTTAATTAAAAATTCCATACAAATATCACTTAATATAATATAGTTGGTGAATGTCTGTTATATATGTATATCCTACATATATATATATAGTTATATAGTTATATAAGTCTGTTCAATACATCTGTATATATATATATATCGTATAGGAATCTATGAAATATAGCCCTCTGCTCGTCCTCGAGTTCCTGGCCGAAAGCTTCTCATCTTGGAAGCGCATGACTCGGTCAGCATCACCCCCGGTGATCCCACCCAGGATACGCAAGATATAACACAATATTATATCTATACATACTAGTCTATATAATATGTGCTTTATACATATATGATATATGATATATGATATATTATATATGATATATGATATATGTATATTTCTACATACATGTGCAAAGGTTATATACAAGTATTGCCCTTATTTACGGTATGCTAATTTCTATGAATCATGGTTTTACACACGGTCTTGCACTTTCTATCCATCATGGTTTAACCAGCCAAATAGTTCAGTTCAGTTCATTTCACCTTCAGCAGTGCTAATTCACCACCAGTTATCACTAGCTTCTATTTCAAAGACTTTTGACCCCAACTCACCAACCCAACCATTGCACAGCTGCCAGTCACTTCAGTCACTTCCCATCTTAATTTGGGCTCACCCCAAGCAACCATCCCACAAACTGTTGGATAACACCCCTTTTTTACCGGCGATGTCATAATCTTCCGTCGAAACCATCCAAAAACAGCCGTTATGTCAGTTAAAGAGCCACTGAAAATTGTTTATCCCATTTTTGAGGGTCCAAAACCTCCATGTAAAAAGGCGCGGCACATTGGGGGAAGACGGACTGCTCCAGGTAAAAGTGCACGGCACTGGGTAGTTTGCTGAGGAGTTGGAAGAGCTGCGCCATGTTGGCCTTGGAGATTGGGACGCCAAAAACGCCGGGATGTTCAACAGCTTGCAACCCATTCTGCTGCAGGCCTCGTTCCGACGTTCCAGGAGGTGTAAGGGCAACCTGCCAGCAATGGCCAGCTGGCGGCCAGCTAAGCGCAAACCGCAAATACTCCAAGTGATATCTTGGTGTCTAAATATGGTGTATATCATCTCAATTTATTACAATTGAAATGGAAAAAATGATGTTTTCATCTATTGAATTGGGAGTAGCCTATTTTCAGACAAACCCATGTGATTAGAAATTTAGTTTGCATTTTGGTATGGGTCAATTTAGCCACCAAACGAATGGCCACAGGGAGATTGGGAATGGATTCTACCATGATCATCCCATTTCTTGCTGGATGGAACATGATGGAATAATCAAAGCCACCAGTCCGAAATCCATTGGGGCGAGGGACCAGGACACACCATTTTTACTGGGTCATATTTGGCGGTAACAGGTCCGATTCTACTTGCCGGAGACACTCCCATCTTTGGGGTTGCCACAGCTTAAATAAGCAACAAATTCATCTCTGCTGGCTAGAGAGGGGCCCAAAAAATTCAGATTCCTTACAATGCTCCCTATACCCTCTGGTAATTTAACATAGCTATTGAAAATGGCCCATTTATAGTGGATTTTCCCATTAAAAATGGTGTTTTTCCATAGCTATGTTAGTTTACCAGAGGGTATCCCATGTTATCCCCATCATAATCCTTATCGATTCACTTCTGATGGCATCCCTAGGCAGCCATGGCACACGCGGGGCCGCAAGCGGTCCGGTTTCTGAGTCTTGCCACCCTCCTGACAAAGCAGCAAACAACGTGTCATCATCCAGTTTCTGGGACTGTGGTTGCAAAAACTGAACATGGGTTAATCAATGTCTGTAAATCTATTGATACTATGTATCTATCTATATATGTATAGTACACCAAACATGCATGCATGTGTATGTTAAATTGCTTGTGAAGAAAGATCAATGAAAAAGTTGCTTTCCCAAAATGAAATATGTGGTTTCAATAAATCAAATCATCTGTGATGGATATTGTAAGTATTTTTCACAACCATATATATATACATATATACACAATATATAACAACATGTTACCGATATCCATGGAATTTACCAACCAAAAAAAAACCAAACGCCCCGAGGCGTTTGCTCCTCCAGTCCCAAGACCTGTGAGGACGTCTGTTCATCGAGCTCGGCCTACCGGGACCCGTCGTGGATCCCGTCGTGGATCCCATATGGAAATCCTGTGAAAATGTCGTGGAATCCTATGGAATCCTATGGGATTATGGGATTTCACAGGATTCCATTGGATTTCATTGGATGTCCAATCCTGTGATACCCTCTGGTAATTTAACATAGCTATTGAAAATCACCATTTTTAATGGGAAAACTCACTATAAATGGCCATGTTCAATAGCTATGTTAAATTACCAGAGGGTATCCATCCTGTGGAAGATTATAAAAATCCTGTGAATGCTGGAAAAAAATGGGAATCCGAAAAGGAGTCACTGTGGAATTCATATGGAATTTTGTTGGATTTCTTTTGTTGGAATCATGTATGGAATCCACACTTAGGGGTGCAGTTCCAGTTTTGGTGGATAGATAACGTGTTCACAACCACTTACAGCATTTCCAGATATGTCCAGTCAACTAAATGGATGTATACAAATTTATTGGAATCCGTGGGTCTTCGATTTCCTGAAGTCTAGCATTGTTTGTCAAAAATCAACCTTTAGTGAAGGGATTGCCGACTTATGGGGGGCTCAAACTATGGTGAAATATATCCACTGAATCCATTGGAACTGGTGAGAACTATGGGAACTGCAGCACCCAGGGCTAGACACCCGGAATGGCAACGACAGCATCGCCTGCTTCACGCAGAAGTCAGCACCGGATTCTTCCACCCAGTTCTTCCACAGCATGCTCGTGGGCCTCATCCACAGGGGCAGGACCATGATTTTGATGGGACCATGGAAATAACCATCCATGAGTATCTGTTGGGATATGGGACCTGAAGAATTCAATACATATACATATACATATACATATACATATACATATTGCGAATCTACTGGGGAGATTTCCTATCCCACACCAATGAAGCACCCTGTGACTCCTGCCTGTGTTGTCCCCAACACTGAATAGCCCCTGGCTTTTCCGTAGCACTGCCTGTGACTCGATCCTCACCCACCCACCTCTGTCGGTGGATAGATGTTGAAGACAAAAGGATGGGCGAGCGGACGGCGAGATGCAGCAAAACTGTATGGCCCCTTTTGGTTCAGCATGGATGAGAAGTGTTCGGAAAATCACACTCATCAAAATCCAAAATTTTAAGAACTTTGTTCATCTTTACTCTCATCCATGCCCTTGTCCTTGAATCCCTCACGTAGCCATTGAAGTTTCTCTCGCTTTGAAGCTCTCAGGCGCAAGCTTTCACCTTCATCAAACAGAGTATACTGACGCGACTGTAAGCATTCCCTCAACATGCTTGCATCCATACTCTTGGTCAAACAGTCAGCGAGCATGGCCTCAGTACTTATCCAACGCATCGCCACGTTTTCTTGCAAACGCTCTCGAATTAATAAACATTCTAGGGTGGTCCTGTACTCGGCGCATGTTGGGACTGCGTTCTTCGTTGCTATGTCGTACACGCTCTTGCAATCAGTCACTGCGCTGGCTAAAGTTGCACCTTTCAAAAGTTGACTCGGATCAGACCAGTCAATGGATGGATTTTTCAGCCATTCCCAACATACCCTGATAAACCCTAGTCGGTCCAGAGATGAACTCAAAGCAATTGACTCTGCACTCAAAGTGGAGGTGACTACCCTGGGTATTCTTCTTGAGCTCCAGGCAACCGGACACACTACTGTCCGCTGATTCCGAGCCAAATTGACATCGGTTGCAAAAATCAGCGTTCCCTGGCGGGAGGACAAGTCTTTTGAACTGGAGAAGGAAGCATCACTGAAAGCACAAAAAGCAACCAACTCTTCTTGGATGGGGACCATCATCAAACAAACTGGATGTTTCTTACCCTCCATCAAAACTCTATTGGCTTCCAGCAAGTGCTTTACCTTCGCCTTTGTCACCATGGATTGGAGCATTCCTGTTTTAGCCGACAGGTCCGGCCGGGTGTGCACTGCGGCATATTGAAGACTGCCGCACAGTCTCCTGAGATGTTGTCGCTCCATTTCTGTTACATCCGCTTCTAGCTGAGACCTACGAGACCTTCCAACATCAATTGGCTCAATCTTCTGAATATAGTCAACCTGATTCATTTCTATGGAGCTGTCATCCCATTGTTTGTAGTGGACACCGCAGAAAGTAAACTCCATTTCATAATATGCCCCAAAATCATAGATGCCCCTCAGTTTTTGGATAACCGACTTAAAATAAGAATCCCCAGCCCCAATACCATCATCCACATGAACACCCAGAACTCCCCTTACCCTTGGTTCTCCTTTGGGTCCCGGTGTGACCAAACTGAAGAGGCATCCATCAAATGGACATGCTATGAATCCCAGAGACTCCAGTGTTGCCCTCAGGGCTTGGTACCACAAAAATGGTGCATCCACGCGCCCATAGGCGCCTCCTTCTAAACTGCACTGATCACCTTCTTTCATCTTTAAGGCATGCCGGATCTCTGGTGGAGCATGGATTCCTAGCGGCCGACCATCACCAGCACCTTTAAGAAACGCCGTGGAGATGTCAAAATTTATCAGTGTCCATCGGCGACTCGCTGCTTTTTGCAGCAGAAGCTGTCGGGCATCTTTGGACAGTGTCGGCGCATCGTTGGGCACAATCCCCACTCCAGGGTCTTCAAAACCCAGGATGACCAACCTTGCTTTGGCCCTCTTTTCTGTCATTCCAGGTAGGGGGTCCTTCCAAGTTAACAGCCAACGACACCGCATCACTTGCTCTGGCTTTAAAGACCCCTTTGTCAGCTTCTTCACGGTACCGTGATCCAGCCATGCCTTGATTTCCTTTTGCTTGGCAGCATCAAACAGCTTTTGATCATGAGGAGTCATCCTACGATAATCTAGTTCAACACGCTTCTTTCTTTCGTTGGTCGCCAAGCAGATTTCCTCAAAGGCAGAGGGCTCGCTGCAGAAAAACGCCGCTGTTTCAGATTCGTATACATGATCTACCAATTCAACTTCCCAAAGAACATCATTTTCCGGAAATCCCCACAATCATCCCCAAACCAAGATTCCTCATCCCCATCATCAGGAACTGGTACAAACCTACCATCATTTTCTTGGACTTCTTCAGGGTTTCCAGGGTTACTTTCGGGAACTTCCATTTCAGATTCCATGGGATCACTCCTTTCATCAAAACCACTCCCACTTGTATCTTGAGGGAATTGTTCCCTTTCCGGCTGACTTTCAAGAGGAGTGGTGGGAGTATATGAGAATTCTGACGCTGCCCCTCTTTCCACTGGACCAGGTGCAAAATCAACAGCTTCAGGAACACCCTCTAACTCAACATACCCCCTTCCCCGTGGTTTCTCATCAATCACATTTCCTTCCATGTCTCGTGGCAAGTGGGCAAACTCACGAAGTGACGCTGGCCGCAACTGCTCAGGACTTGCTCGAATTATCCGTCCGAGATGGCTCAACCAAACAACACGAGGATTCTGATTGGCTACTAATTACCTGGGCGGGCCCATGCCACCTTCCCCTCTCAAGGCGGTTGTTGCCCCTAGAACTACGCCAATACAGCACCCAATCCCCAGCTTCATATTCGATCCTTCCCGGACGGCTTTGTCTGAGCAAAGCCCGACGAAAGGCTGAGTCGTTGTCCGCCTGTACAAAGGCTTTTCGGGCCTGTTCCCTGCGCAGCAAGTTCTCTTTGAAACGGATCCCTTCCGGCAGAGTGCTCTCAGCAAGACAGTGGCTCCCTGCCTCCGCATCGGAGACTAACGAGCCTGGCAGATGGCGGCTCTTTCCCAAGAGACATTGCTCGGGAGTGAACCCATGCACACGGCTAAGAGAGTTCTTGGCTGCAAAGGCTTGGCGAAGGCATTGGGTGAATTCATCGGCTGTCTCAATGGGCCGCTCCTTCTCCATCCGAGACAACATGTCCTTGACTATCCTACCGTGAACTTCGGCCCTCCCATTCTGCCAATGTGATTCTGCGGCAGTCATTGAGACTCGGATGCCCTCACCTTGCAACATTGCAGCCCAGGCATCATTGACATATTCCCCAGCAGGGTCCAAGTAAAGTGTCTTACAAGGACCAGCCCATTGAACCCAGCTATTGAGGAAAGTTTTGATTTGATCTTCTACTTTACGAGCACTCAAGTTCCCGACATGGTACAAAGTTGATTCATCAATGAAATGCATGAAATGAAAGGTCTTTCCCGAGGAATTAGTCCAATAAGCCCCATCAGCCCCCACAACATCGTTGAAATCAAGATCATCATGAATTCTACCAGGTTGTGATTTCTTGGGTCGGAATTGAGTTTCTACACATGTATCACAGCACATATCCCGTGCCCCAGCTATAACCTCAGGTTTGGCTCCACGTTCGGTCAGAAACTTTACCATCTTTTGGGGGTCTGGGTGTCCCAAATTGTTATGGACCCTCCTAAGTTCAGCCCTCTCCCCTGCTTCCGAACGCAAAAATGCAGGTCCCGATTTGGGGGTGATCTTTGGAGCCCATTCCTCCATGAATCTTTCTGACCGTGGATGATCCATCGCCTGATCCGCATTTGGTGGTTTCGGATCGACACCGAGCGGTTGAACACTCTCCGGAGCCTGCACCACGGAACTTTCAGTTCCTGGCTCTTTCACGTCCATTGGAGAAGTATCGGGAACTGGCAGAGACATTTCAGCCTCTGACTTCTCACCACGGCCGGCTTGCTTAAATATGGCCCCAAATGGCTCATTTATATCATCTTTCCGGCCAAAAATGGACAATGATAATTTGGCGGGTCCTGTCGATCGAATTTGTCTCATGCGTGACAACCCTGTCCAATTTTCAGGGGGCCCCAAATCTTTTACTTCCCCAGTACCCCTCTCAACCACTACTGTCTTCCTCCATGGCAAAACTTCGGGAAACACATCGGCTGGTTGGATCCTGTGGCGATCCGTTCCGCGACAAGCAACAACCAATTCAACCTTGATGTCCGGCACCACCTGTTGGACCAACTTGACAACCATATCACCAGAACCCTGAAAACAGGCATTCCCAACCCTAGGAGTGGAATAGCCAACAGTTCGAAAAATGTCTTTCCAAGATGGTGCCTTCCCATACAAGGATGTCTCTGGTTGTTTCAGCTCTACACGACGCCGCTTCAGCTGCAGAGGCTCTTGTGCCATTTCGGGTCTTTCATGGGCATCCAGTCCTAGAACTAGTTCCCCCAGAATCAAAGGTACTTCAGGGTGTTCACATTCCCACCACAAAACTTCAACCACTCGGCGCGCAAAGTGTGTGGTGTATGTTTGTGCATACGAGGATATGTTTCGCCATTTTCCCAAGTGTTTGAACTGTCCTTTGATGTGGGCATGATCATGGTTTCCATGGCACATGTGATCATGAAGCATTTCAAAAACCATTCGACATGATGTGAACACCTGTGTCCGTTTCTGAAGAAACTGGTTTGTTCCTGGTAATCTAAGCTTCCCAACTTGGCACATATCAAACGTTGATGGCAGCGTTCCCAAGCGAACATCGTTGAGCTCAGCCTGCATGATCATCTCGGATCCACGAGGTTGCTCCAGGTGAAAATGCCTTGAGTTACTCATTTGATACAGATACAGCTGATTGCATAACACCAAGTGTGGCCTATCAGCGTCTCTTCGTTGTTGAATGTTTTCACATGACTTTGGATCTTTTCCCATGTTATATCTCGAAAAGTTACCCCATAGCTTGCATTCGGGTGCTACCCAGATGTGTTCAGGTTCATACAAATAGACCCAGGACCACAATTTACTTCTCCCCTCTTCGGTGCTTAGATCCCCATCTTGAACCGTAAACCTGAGAGAATTACCCCCCATGTTCCTCGTTTGTGTGGTTAATTGGGATCCCTCATCACAATAGATTTCCAGAAGATGGAGTTTTTGTTGGTGTCCTTGATCCATCCCTTCTTTACCCCTGACACAACTTTCATATACCGACGATTGGACTTGAGAATCTTTTCATGAGTGACATACGCCTGATCGCATCTTAAATTGGCCAGATCAAGTTCTATTTTGTTGGATATCTTTTGGATCTGATCATGCACTTGCAACCCTCGGCTCACTCCTTGTTGGATGGTTCTCCCTTGGTCTCCTTGTCCAACTCGCGCTGCAGAATGGCGATCTGTGCCCTCAGCTGCGCCACCTTCTTGACATTGGGATTCATCTCCATGGCCTTCTCGGTCTGAGGCACCGAGCGCTTGTGATTCTTGGACTCCGTTGGAATTGCAGTCTGCACCGGAATGTTGATCCACCCCTCGTCTGCTGGTGCCGACGGATATCCCTTCTTCTGAGCCATCGCCATGGGCTGAGTTGCCTTTGTCATTGCCACTGGCGCCACATTGGATGTCTGGGTTGTCACCGGACTTGGCATCCCTGTCGTCTCCACTTCTGGGTGAAGACGTCGATGCTCCTGACTTGAGGCTCGGCGCTCTCGGCAGTACAGCTGAAAGCTTCTCACCCATGTTGAAACTGCTCTGCGACTCCAGAGCTGATTGACATAGCCCCGCTCGTTCTCGTAGAGATCTGCGAAGGTTCGAGTCGCATGTTTGCCCGATGGAGCCTTGGTTCGTCCCCAATCGGTCAAGGTGTTGATGCCCGGTGGGCGTGTCAACACCGGAGGGAACTCGTCGTGCTGCTGATTCCCCTGGAGGCTCCCATCGACTGGTGTCGTGAGCTGACGGTCCAGATAGCTGTGCATCACTATGTTGGCCATGATGCTCAGCACTCCGAAGCTGGTCAACTCCACTTTCAGGGCAGGTTTGGTCACTCACCACGGCTGCTGAGACGGTGGTGGATGATTGCTCTGAACTTTTACCTTGGACCACATTAACAACGTCTTCCTTAGGAAGCAGGTCATGTTGAATTCGTCCATGATTCAGGACTTCATGCATTTGGTGGGTCTCTGTGATCTTCTCAGTTTCGGTCGTTTCCGTGTGTGCACTGAGGATGTGTGTTGGTGACGCACTCACTTTTGGGGCCTTCTGCAACAATTCAACAATCTTGATTCCCATTAGATTTTTCCGCACCATTGTCAAAGGAATCCAAACATCACTCCCTTTGAAGCCCAGACAACACCCCTCTACATCAATGATCCCTTTGAGTCCCCTTCGTACTGCATTGGAAATCAAAAATGGGGTGTGACCCGGCACTACTTCTACTCTCAACCACCCATTTTGAGCCCTCGGAAGCATCACTGCGAAGCTACTCGCCAGGCGACCAGCATTTCCAAATTTGAAAACAACACCTTCAGTAGGAACCCTCATGACTTTCGACCTGAGATCTTTAGGCAAACTCCTAATCAGTTTCTTCAGTCTCTCATGGCCGATCACAGCCCGACTGGCTCCTGTGTCAATGATGGCTTCATCATCGGCTTCTTCTGTTGCAAAAATATCAACAGATGTGGGAGCCACCTGGACACTTGTCTGAGATGGTTTCTCCCTTGGAGAATTGGGTGGTGGAGTGGTCTCTACAGCAGATCCGGCGCTGAGAACGTCATGTTTCCTACAGCATGTGGTGAGACAGGACGTGAGGGATTGTGTTAGTGCAGAAACACTCACTAAGCAATCACGAACAACCCCCTGAATAACCCCAACTTGATCACCTCCATTAGTCCAATCCCCTTGAGGTATATTCAAAATTTGACCCTTTTGACTCCCGTCCTCCTCATAAGCCACTGCCTCCTCTGGAAGCTCTTCCACGACGTCGCCGCCCCATTTCAGATCATCACCAAGTTCCATGGACGCCTTCTGCACCTCTTCGTGAAGGATGCCCGTGAAGGATTCAGTCTCGTAGGCCTTTTTGATTCCAGAGCTACTCATCGAAGCTGCTGAAGAGGATGTGGTGGACAATGGACACTCCCTCTTCCAATGTCCCGGCTGTCCACACTTCCTGCAATTCGAATTGGCTATTCTGTCTGCAAGACTACGACGACGGAAATTGGCCTGCTGATTGGAGCTCATGTTTCCCTTGCTGGACGCCCCAAACTTCCCTTTCTTGCCCTTGGTGCGTCCCTTGCCACTACCCAACGGCCAAAAGCCTCTTGATTTGGCCTTGTCTCGAAGGCGTTGACGTGCCTCTTGGTAACTGGCAAAGCACGGTGCTAATTCTGCCGATTCTTGACAAGCCGTCAGGATGGCCTCTTCAAAGTCATTAATGAAGACTGCGTCCTCATCACCAGCCTCCAAAAGACTTTGAAGAAAGATGTCCTCCTCGATGTCCTCCTCCGATTCTTGATACATGATGGTCTCTTCCTCCGTCTGATGCACGTCATAGGTCTTGTACTTGACATTGTTCTTGGAGTTGGACTGCAAGTCCTGAAAGAATCGACTTCCAAGAAGTCTCATACTTTTCCTCGCCTGATCATATGTCAATGACCCCGCACAGTCCAGGATCACCTTCTTCCTGTCTTCAGTCTGCAGAATCGACTGTCGCACCAGGATGTATGCCCTGACCTCTTCGATGGTCACCTTGGCCGAGAGGAGGTCCTCAAAGGATGCATCATGCCGAGCCAGGTATGAGTCATTCGACTCATCTGACTTCTGCACTGTCTGATACAGCGCCTTTTCGAACATGTCGTAGCGCTCCTCACTGGCCAGTCTTCCCCATGACCCACCGAGCGCCTCCACCAAAAGGCGAACACCATCTTTTGATTTCAGCTTGGCCGGATCCATCCTTGATACCTTTTGAAACGCCACCCCCTCCACAAGGAGGGCAGCTCGGGGAGCCAACTGCTCCACATAGTCAGCCGGCCAGAGCTCACGAAGGAACTCTAGCTTCCTTCCATAGACCTTGACATCGGTCTCACCCGGGATGAATTTGGGGATCTGGTTCCACGGCACCGACGTTGGATACCCCCCGGATCCCGCTGCTTGCGCAGCTTCACCTTCCATGGCCACGCGACCTACGGTGAAGCAAGTTGTCCTAGGCCTGTCAGTGACCCCACTTACCTAGAACCTTGCGGCAGCCCAAAGCTCTGCTACCAATGCGAATCTACTGGGGAGATTTCCTATCCCACACCAATGAAGCACCCTGTGACTCCTGCCTGTGTTGTCCCCAACACTGAATAGCCCCTGGCTTTTCCGTAGCACTGCCTGTGACTCGATCCTCACCCACCCACCTCTGTCGGTGGATAGATGTTGAAGACAAAAGGATGGGCGAGCGGACGGCGAGATGCAGCAAAACTGTATGGCCCCTTTTGGTTCAGCATGGATGAGAAGTGTTCGGAAAATCACATGAGTATCTGTTGGGATATGGGACCTGAAGAATTCAATACATATACATATACATATACATATACATATACATATACATGTACATGTACATGTATCTGTATATGTATCTGTATATGTAGGCTCGTCCCACCTCCTGGAACTACATACGATGGGGTGGGGGGGTGGGGTGGGATGTTAACGTTCATGTGAACTTGCAGAAGCAGTTGATGCTACGCAAACGCGGGGGGGGTGGGGTGGGATGTTAACGTTCATGTGAACTTGCGGAAGCAGTTGATGCTACGCACACGCGAGGTGGGGTGGGGGGGGGATGGGGTGGGATGTTAACGTTCATGTGAACTTGCAGAAGCAGGTGATGATGGTGATGATGATGATGATGATGATGATGATGATGATCATGATGATAATGATGATGATGATGATGACCCGAATGAAACTTGTCTATTCCGGGACGAAATCGTCCCGGAATTGACAAGTTTTATCAATCTAATTCGGGGTGGGCGCAGTTCCAGAAGCGCGGACGAGGCTATATGTACATGTATATGTATATGTGTTCTGAATTTATTTATTGTAATATATATATATATATGTATTGCAATTAATCATGGATTCTGGCCATGCACTGATTCTGTGGAACTGCACCATCCGAACAAGGCGAAACGCATCAGGGGATGGTTGCTCTATGGTTGTTGCTTCCTGTTATATATGAAGCTTTCCATAAATGTGGGATTTCCAAAATGGATGGTTTATAATGGAAAATCCTATTTAAATGGATGATTTAGGGCTACCCCCATTTTAGGAAACATCCATATGTGGTTCTATATCCATCTGATTCTATCGGTCTCTGTCCTGATCACGAAAAAAACCGAAAACATGTGAGTTGATATTCCTATTCTTTCCGGGTTTGGATACATGCTATGGTTCAACGTTACACTCTCCATTGCACCTGCACATCCATGTTTCTTGTTCCTCAATGTCTATCAAATTCATGGGTGGCAGCTGTGACTGGGCTTGAAAAAAAACAATAGAAAAACATGTGCAAAAATTGGGATACAGTATGACCTCCCCATCTTCTCGTAAAGTGCCAATCTGATTGTTAGTTTCAACCCCTTGACTGCGAAAGTCGCTTTGGAACAGCGTAAAAGTGGTGGTGGTCGTCGTCATCATCATCATCCTCATCCTCATCATCCTCATCATCCTCATCATCGCCATCATCATCCCACTTTATTCCATTTAAAACCCATTAAAACCTATTAAAAGCCCATTTCTAAGGTCGAAAATCACCCTCCCTCGGGGTTTTGGCTCTGGATTTCTCCCAAATCGCCTCTCTAGCACGGCACCAGATTCACCCTCCAAGCGGTCGCACAGCATACCTGCGGAAGGTTGGTGGTTGAGCCACCCCTCTGAAAAATGTGAAAGTCAGTTGGGATGATGACATTCCCAATATATGGAAAGTCATAAAAGCCATGTTCCAAACCACCAACCAGTGATTATTAACCATTATCAACCATTATTAACATTTATTAACCATTATTAACCATTCCATATATGACAATATATGGGAAAGCCAGTCATAAAATTCCATGGTTCCAGTCACCACCAGGATTTCATCATTGTGTTCTTGAATCCCCATGCTTCTAAATGTGAATCTCACTGTTTCAGCGATGTTGAACTTGTTTTGTGCTGGTGCACTGACATTGACCACCTGTTAAATCACCATTGTTGCTGGTAAATCACCAACTATATATATATATATTGGTGATAATTGCTCATTACCAAATTGCTAATCACCATATTGAATTAATCGGTCATCTAACCATCCTTATTATCAAATTTAAATGGGGGTGTAATCACATTATTCATTCATGGTGAATCTTGGATACCTGTCCAAAAAAACATTTGAAAAAAATCCCATGCTATGTTGGTGAGTTCGTTGCCAGTGATAGCCCAAAGAAATGGTCCAGCACCCGGTGAAATCCTCCCGCCTAGCACTTCGTCGAAGTCTTCGCGACGCAGGCCCTCGTAACGATAGGCCAAGGTGGTGAGACCTATGACCACCTCGTGTCACGGCACGAGGACTTGGAGAACGGAGGGGATTTTTCCGATCTGCTGGGACTTTGGCATCGAAATATCATGAAAACCTCATGTAGATATCTAGAATCAATGGAGAATGGAGGTTTTTTGATGTCTCTTTACCCTCTGATAAACTAACATAACTATGGAAAATCACCATTTTCAATGGGAAAATCCACTATAAATGGTCATTTTCAATAGCTATGTTAGTCATTACCAGAGGGTATATCTTTTGGTTTCTTTTTGGGACAAACATCATTGGGTAGCATCAACTAATTCAACTCATTGGATTATTCATCAACTTTGTTGGAGACCTGAGATGTGTCCAATGATAATCTCCATGGTTAACATACATTAATATGGTTAAAATATCCATATGTTAATATCAACTATATCTATATCGATATCTAGAAACAATATCAATATAACAGTACTTAACATCATTAATCTGGGTATATCTGGGTAAATAAAGTTAATTCACACACTGAAAGAAGGCCATTTGGGGATGATTCCCATATATATATACCATGATTCCAGTAATTTCGCAGTGAGGTCGTTGTTCTTGTACCCATGATGATGTCCTGTTCATCTTTTGGGACAGTCACATCATTGGACGTTGGGAAAAAATGGTGTTTCCCATGATGTTTATCAAAAAATTGTGTTTACCCTCTGGTTATGTCAAAATAGCTATTGAAAATGGCCATTTATAGTGGATTTTCCCATGAAACATGGTGATTTTCCATAGTTATGTTAAATTACCAGAGGGTATCTGCTGGGAAAAAAACTAGAAGGGATCATCTCTCGGCATACCATTGACCGTTTACCATGAATTTACCCATGGTTTAGAGAAACATGGCTGGGACCCCTCAGTCAAGCAAACACTGGGAAAAGGAAAAGAACATCTATGATTTTTTGGGTGGTCATTAGATGTTATAAGCCCAAACTACCTCAGATTGCTTTACTTAACTTAGCTGACTTGGCCGACTGATTGGTGAGTTTCTTGGCGCTATTACTCCCACGCGTCTTGAAGCTGTACCCATAGTCCGGATACGCGGTTCTATCCCAACAACAGATAAGTTGGATTCTGATCTCTTCCCACCATTTTCAATCACCCCCAAACAAAAGCTGGTTTAAATTGAATAGTGAAACTGTTTATTTTGGGGTACAACTATCATGAGGATGGTGTTGATTCGGAGAACTGCTGTTGGGTTTATGGAGGATATAAATTGCTACAGGTACTCCCAACTCCCAGTTACATTTGGTGGTAAAATGGCTAGATAAAGAGGACAAGCTTCACCAAGTGTCCCCCCTAACTTGTGGCCTTTTTAAAAAAGTTCCGGAATTGTTGTAGGAATTGTTGTTTTTCCGTTTTCGGTTTTTTGTTGGGATCTGCTGTTCTGTCCGTTTTCCTTGCAATGTGCAGCATCTTGAAGCTGGAAGCTTTAGTAATTTGCGGATTGGTTTCGGGTGTGTTATGTATATATATATAATACATATATATATATATTGTATATTATATTATATTATATTATATTATATTATATATTATATTATATATAATATTATGTATATATATATATATATTATTATATATTATACATATTATATATATACATACATATATTATACATACCATATTGTATTATATTATATATATGCATCTTGGGTGTTATTTAGGCTTGAGAAGCAAAAAGCAGAAAACAGCAGAGAAGCAGAACAGCAAAGAAGCAAAGAAGCAGAAAAGCAGAGAAGCAGGAAAAGGAAGAAAAGCAGAAAAGCAAAGAAGCAGGGGAAACAAATCAACAAAAAAAATGCCCAAAACGGAAAAAAAAATAGCCTTCCTTTTACCCTCTGGTAAACATACAAAAAACTATGGAAAATCACCATGCTATTCATGGGAAAATCCACTATTTCTATGGCCATTTTCAATGGCTGTTTTCAGCACCCTGAGTGTTGGCCAAGACACATCAGGGTGAGCAAACTCGCTGGACTGAGATGGCACGTCCTTCCCTGCCGCATGGATATGGATATACACCCAATATGTATGGTGGTGTGAGGAACAGATATAGGAATATCACATAATATGCAAATAAATCAAATGCATATATATATATTATTATATATAATTATATATATATATATAATCCCTTCTTAATAACAACTTCACTGGGTTTGATTTAGTGGATCTGTTCGCTTTAGAGTTCCCAAAAAACCTGGAGGCTTTTTCTGAGGCTTGTGGTGAGGGGAAGGGACCCCATCATTCCTCAAATTTCCTCCAAGTATTGCTGTGGAAATTTGGGGTGGTGTTCCACATAAGGCTAGGGATCAAGAATGAGTCGTATAAAAATTAGAATGTGTGCTGATTTCCTACACAAAAAGTGGTTCCATGTGTCATTAACTAAATCTTTGGTTGGTTTTTGGTGCCAGGTGTGCACAAGGGTGGATAGCAATTACCAAACCAAGGATACAATCATTCCATATGTAGCGGAATATAGCAAGTGCCCATGCAGTACGTTTACGTAACCAATCGTAACCCTAGTTCCAGCTCAGAAGCCAGAGCGGTCCACGCAGCTTAAAAGCAGTTCATTTCTAGCTGGATTTGACATAATTACGTCATCAAATTACCAAAATATGACCTTTAAATAATAATTGAATAAAGACTTTTAATAATAATTTAATAATTTAATAAAGACTCTAAATTTCGGCACATTCTCAGGGGTTACGAAAAACCTGCAAATTTTAAACATCATCAACCTCCCGAATCACTGTCGCCTACGAAGGGAATGGCCAGCTTGGCGCGGGTCAAGGGCATCAAGGGCTGCTCAGCCAGCGCTGCTGCCACCTGCCCAGGTGGACAAAATCTCCAGGATGACCTCAAAAATTTGGGTGCCAAGGTGCAAGGAATTGCTCCAGTTCATGGCTTTCAGGGCGGGCCCGATGTCTCACCCCGTTTTACTGCTTTTCATGAGGGTTTTGAGTGCATTGGCAAACGCACTTCCAGCGCAAATCAACAGCCATGAAGCAAGAGGATTCACACAACAAATACATGGTTCATAATGTTCATACTTCCAAACTACCAAAGACATCCAAAGCCAAGGTTTACAGCCCAAAAATCCGACCGAACATGGACCATGTGTTGACTAGTCATTCAAAGTCATGTCAGCCCAACAAATGGTGACGCGTCGCCTAAAAAGCCCTGCCGGTCTAACGCCTGTTCAGACGACATGATCCCGAAGGTGACGCGGTCGATCTTCTGCAAACTGAAGGGCAAGTAGACCTGGTGGATGCAAAATTGAACCGTCAAAATGGCACCATGGTTGATTAATGATGATTAATGGCGATTGATGATGATTGATGATTGATGATTGATGATTGGAAGGAATTGGAAGGAATTGGGAAGAATTACCATATGTTCATTTTTTTCTGATGATTGATGATGATGACTGGGAGGGATTGCTATATGTTCAAACCCGCAGTGCAGGTGGAAGGACAAGATCTTTGATCACCGAGCCGCCACCGTTGGTAGAAACCTCATGGCTTGTTAAATAGAGACTTCATATCAGTCCATTTTTTTTGTGGCATCATCTCCAAGTCCTGGATGGCAACTGCCATTGAATTTTCTCAACTTGTTGGGCCTTCAAAGCCTTGGAAATGGCAATGACTTCTGTGAAACTATGCCTGTCTTGGAACAAGCTTGACGGTCCATTTCTTGTGAGTCTGTCCAAAAACCGTGTACCCCAAAATCTGGTTCATCATGTTCTCCATTAAAATTGCAATGAATGGGTCGTAAATATCACTATACAAAACATGACAAACCATAATATCCATTCTTGATTAGTCAAGTCACTATCTCCCACATCTTCATTCTGTGATGCCCTATTTTTGGCTCCCATTGAAATGGCCCCCCAAAAAAAACAGGCACCGTGTCCGGCATCTGGTCCCACCTGCAACCAGTCCCAGCTCCTTGGTGATACCGGGTTTCGGATGGTTTCGGTGTTCCCTTGAGCCACCAAGCCATTGATAGATTGTAGCAAGACATAGCATGATTTGTTGCATGGCAGTGTGTCAAAACCTTGTACCCCTGGTGAACATCAAAATAGCTGGTAAATGGATGTTCATCCCACTAAAAATGGTATTAATAGGTATTGATCCATAGCCGCATCATGTTTAAGAACTTGTAGCCATGTTGAATTTCAAGAAAAGTCTAACCTGGTAACCAAAAAAAAACAGTTCTGAGTGAGCCACGGCCTGTCTTTTTGCCCTTCCATAAGGGCACACCTAAAAAATCTACGGCTGGACTTGATCCAAAAATCTTCTGTGGGTAGTTACAACATGTTACAACATGTTACAACACGTTACAACCACATTTGGAGGTTGCTTACATTGGGGATGCCCCCCAAACCATCCAAGTCATTCAACAATTTGTTCGTATTGAAACCCAGGGTTTTGGGGGATGCCCCATCTGAAGAAAGCCCCATGTGTAGCCGGTAGAGGCCCGTTCTGGCTGCATCCAGGGCTCAAATTCATGGACTTCGCATCTTTCGCTGGCAACTTCTCAACACGTTCACCTCTCATGGAAGCGCCTTCCTGCGGCCAGCTTTGCAGGATGTACAGCTACCGAAGTATGGTAAACCCAATAATAGATGGGGGGGTCCATAAATGGGGGATCCCCAAAATGGTTGGTTTATAATGGAAAATCCATCTAAAAATGGATGATATAGGGGTACCTCCGTTTCAGGAAACTGCCATTATGGGATAATACTGAATACTCATTGGAAAAACTAGGATATTGATGGGATAATACAGGATAATAGTGGTAGAATCATGGATAATTATGGGATTACGACAATGAACCATCCCCAAGTTTGAGGTTTATGAACTTGACCCCTAGCAATGGGATGATCTACCATGACCCCCAGCCCCTGTCCTCAGTTTCCTCCAGTACCAGACGGACGTTTCCTGCGCTCAAGGGCTCCACACGCGTGGCAAAGTAGTCAGACCGGGCCACTGGCTCAAACTTGCTGCCGACCACGCCTGGTGACCAATGGGACCAGCAATCCCCAAAGGTGACGAATCTTAAACACCGACAACCAGGTTTTCAAGAGGGAATCTCACTTGATTAAGCCATCTATTCTTGCGGGGGTGACCTTTCACAGGGGTTGGTTGAAGCATGAAATTGAGCTGGAAACGGCCGCCATGGATTTGCCCTTTGCAGAAATCGGCAACCCAAAATCCGGTCAAAAACCTCCCAAAATTCCCCGGTAAAATTGCCATTTGGGCCATTGAAATCTTCCTTTTTTGACGAACCTGCTCCATCGGGCCGTGGCAGCTCTAAACGTCCCGGTCCACAGCGAGCGCCGATGGCACCTCAAGCGCCCCTTGGGGGTCCCAGGGGAATTCAATGACCTGGTTGGAGGGGGCGTTCTCCAACTTCTTAGTGGCAATTCTTGGAATTTCTGTGGAAAATGTGGGATTGATAAATTTGAGGTGCCAAGCTAGGGGCTAACTGACAGAAGTCCCCAAGTGGTTCAGTGCATTTCTAGTTCACTACAGCAACACACTCCTAGATTGGTTCTGTTCGTTCGCCTCTATTTCTTCGGCCAGCACTTCTGCTATGCCCCACGTCTTTCGGAATGATTGTCGGGAACCTCATTTTTGCTGACCTTTACAGTACTTTGTGGCCTTCCACTATGTTGGGATGATTTAACTTGATGTAGTTCCCGTGGCTTCGTGAACCACGTGTTTGATGACCCTCTGCGGGGATTCGGCTGTCCTGCATTTTTTTTTCGGCACTTTTTACATAAACCCCAAAGAAACCCTAAGGCAACCCTGAAAAACCATATGAAAGTGTATATAGTGAAGTACCTGTGGGGTGTAGCGCACGTGCTGCGGGTATTTCTTGCTGGTATATCCTCTGCTTAATGAAACTTGGCACTGGAAAATGATTTCAGTATTAGTTCATGATTCCTTTGTAGCTTGTTTTCCCATGAAAATGAGAAAATCACCTTGGATAATCCCCTTTCAAAATATATCAGAATACCCCCCCAAGCGTGGAAGAATGCCAGGTTCACTCTCAAAAAAAGACATGTCCAGACAATTTTGCCATGGAAAATGCTGCTACTCTCCGGTGTCATCAAACATGGTTTGCGGGAAAATTCAGTGAAAATCCCAAAAGTTTCTACACGACTTGCCTTTTGAAATCCTGATTTTCCATCGCCCCAAGTTGGATGACCGGTGGACGGGTTCCAAGGCGCCATTCAGCACGTCCATGATCCAAGCGCAGTTGGATCGTGCCACTGCACTGCCGCCTCCTGCGCGAGCCACCAAGCCTTGCCAAACCTGCACAAGGGCCACCCTTTTTGGGGAATTCACCAACAACCCTAGGGATGTTAAGTGGGACTTAGTTGGGAATTTCAAGGGACTTAATGGGACTTAATTGGACTTAATTGGGATACAATGGGATCTATAGCCAATACATGCCAATACTTTAAATCAAACTAACAAGATCCGGCTTTGTCTAAATGTGAGGTACCCCATTTGGTAATTTTCCGAATGCGTTGCAGAAAATCCCAGCTGAGTTGTGGTTTTAAATCCGTGTCATCAACCTCCGGGGGATGGTGAGACAATCCCACGTTCCACTTTTTAAAGGTGGAGTGTAGGGGGGAAAAAAATCAGAAAACATGTGAGGGTCAAATAGCCTCCCACTTGAATCTTGAATAGTTGGGATTTCTTCATTCATTTTTGGATATCTTCTAAAGGTTGACCACAAGAGATCATCCCAAAGGTCTGACATGGTCACAACTCACTCACTTGTGCCGCTCCCATCCTGAAATGCAGAAACCTGAACTCAAAAAATATCGATTAATCATAGCGTATACATACAGTAGTATATATTAAAACAAAAAAAAAAAACTAATACAGTATACATTAACCGTACATATATATAATTCATAGATAGTTACATATATGTATATACATATAGGTTGTTAACTTTCGTAATTCATGGGGGGTGCTTGTATTTAAGGTCGGGGGGTTGTGCATAAGGCTAGGTAGTGTTGACGGTCATTGAAATTGGTATGGGGGCTACACCGACCTTGATAACGAAGTTGAACACGAGATAAAGATCACAATTAACCCCACTGGGCAATGCTTGCCAGCTTGCCCATGTAGAACTTATGGTCTGATCGTTGTATTGATTTATTCCCATGTTCAGTAAGACGCTGTCTCTCAGCTTGTTTTTTGTTCCTGTAGGCCCTGGGCGTGTCTCGCATTTGTTGATTCTCATCCAGTTGAAGTCCCACAAATCTTATTATGTGCACGGTGCCCCACAGCACAAAAATGTGAGAGGCCAAGTCGATCTTACAAAAACAAACCATCAATTTGTATGATTTTTCCCACTAAAAAATCAATCATTGAATTAAAATTGGACAGCTGTGAAAATCTAGTTGTGGAAGGTGGCGGGGTTGTCTTTAAGGTTTGCCCCCGAAATAAGGTGCATGCACTATGCAAAATTCATAAGATCAAATGTAGGGGATTCTTGGCTGAAGAGAGGGTTGCGAAGACAGGGTTGCGCAATTAATTTCGGGACACGGCCAAGAGTTCAGTTAATTTTTTTCATTTGTTTCTTCTATTTTATTTCAGTACAGTTTTACTTTCTTTTTTTTGCAGCCAGAATCCTGTGCCTTGCCGGCTGCTCACAAAAAGGTAGTCTTTAACAAAGGCCCGCCGCAGGCGACATTTTTGAGCATAGGATCGTCGCCCAGGAAGCATTAATTCCATCAATCTGAAAGCAATGAAAAAACAAACAATAAATAGATGTATTGTGTTTTCCTTGTTTTCAATTCTTCTAGTTTTCTTTTTTTAATTCTGTTCAGTTTTTCATTTATTTCCTTTTTGCGTTTTCATTCTATGTTTTTCTCTTGTTTATGTTTTCTGTGTGTTTTTTTTTGTCTCCGCAAAATCCTTAAATTCAAAGGCTGGCCTTGAATTTAAGGAAATTCGACTTTTTCCCATGTTTCTTTTTTCAAAAAAAAATGAAATTTGATCTTTTTGCAAAATCCACCGTTTTTGATTTTTTACACAAGGAATTTTCCAAATAAAAACACTGAAATAAACTTTTTAAATATGTTTTTCCTGCAACATATAATTGTGGGAAAAGTCAAAATTCTTTGAATTCAACGCCGGCCAGTAAGATTAAGGAAATAAGGAAAATACAATAACAAATATATAATGAAAAAACACACAAGCAAAAAAAAAAATACATTAGAACCATTTCCAAAAAAAAACAAGAAAGAAACAAAAAATGGAAAGGTAAAGAAAATCCAAAATATAAAGAAAACAAAAACAACAGAAAAAAATACAAAAAAAAACGAAAAAAAGAAAAAAACGGAAAGAAAAAAAAACAACGCTAAAAAAAAGAAGAAAAAACGGAAAACAAAATCGGGAAAAAAAACGGAAAAAACATCGAGAAAAAAAACGGAAAAAAAAACGGAAAAAAAAACGGTTAAAAAAAAGAAAAAATCGAAAAAAAAAACGAAAAAATCGAGAAAAAAATTGAAAAACAAAAAAAACGACCAAAAAAAAAGGCGAACAAAAAAAAACGAAAAAAAAAACGAAAAAAAACAAAAAAAAACTTATTTCAGGCAAAAATACCTTAAATTCAGCCCTAGGGTTGAATTTAAGGATGCTGTGATGACTTTGGCCTATATTTTTGCTCCAAAATATGAGAAATATTGGTTTTGGAGTGGATTTTGTAGGCCAAATTTCTATTTTTGGCATAGTAATTTTGATATTTTTTCATTGTTTTGGGTTTTTTGTTTGCAATTCACTATGCCAAAGTCATCACAGCATCCTTAAATTCAACCCTAGGGCTGAATTTAAGGTATTTTTGCCTGAAGTAAAAAAAAAAATCGTTTTTTTTTTTTCGCCCTTTTTTTTTCGATTTTTTTTTTCGATTTTTTTTTTCGATTTTTTTTGTTTGTTTTTTCGATTTTTTTTCTCGATTTTTTTCGTTTTTTTTTTTTTCGCGTTTTTTTTTTTCGATTTGTTTTTCTCGATTTTCTTCGTTTTTTTTTTTTCGCGTTTTTTTTTGATTTTTTTCTCGATGTTTTTCGTTTTTTTTTCGTTTTTTTCATGTCTTTTTTTTTTCGCGTTGTTTTTTTCGTTTTTTTTTCCGAATTTTTTTTCTCCATGTTTTTTTTTTGTTCGTTGATTTTTTTTCTTTTTCGTTGTTTTTTCTTTGCTTTCATTTCGTTTGTTATGTTGTTTTTTTTTCGTGTTTTTTCCTTTTGTTTTCCTTTTTTTCCTTTTTTTTCTCCGTTTTTTCCTTTTTTTTCATCTATTTTTTTCGTATGTTTTTTTTCGTTGTTTTTTTCTTTTCCCGTTTTTGTTTCCTGTTTTTTCTTTTTTGTTCGTTCCTTTTTTTCTCTTTCTTTTCATTTTTTGTTCCATTTATTTGTTTCCGTTGTTTTTTTTTTCGGCTTTTTGTTTTTTACTCCTATTCGTGTTTTTTTTCTTTTTTTGCTATTGTTTTTTCCTTTTTTTCGTTCATTGGTTGTTTCTATGTACCTCGGTTTCCTTTACGTTTCTATATTTTTTCTTCGTTTTGTTACCAAATGCATGGTTCTCATGTTTTTTTTTGCCATGTTTTATTTGTATGTGTTTCTCATTATTTGTTTTTCTATTTTCCTTATTTCCTAGCTGAGGGGCTGGCCTAGAATGTAAGGAAATTTGACTTTTCCCACAACTCAAAAATGCCGCCTGCGGCGGGCCTTTGCTGAAACAAAAAAATGAGCAGCCTGCAAGGCTTCTGGCTGCAAACAATAAGAAAGTAAACGTCGATTTACATCAAAAAACAAAAAACAGTTAAAACAAAACTGACATAATGAAACAAGATTTGACAAACAAAAGCGAAACAAACACTGAAGATCATTGAAGCATGTAAATTACTTCTCAACGGCCTTCTTGCCGGCAGCTCACCATGGTCATGGAACAAGTCCAGTAAGCTGTTGGAAAATATTGGAAATATTTGTTTTGGATAATTTCTTTAGGTGCCTGCATTCGGTTCTTTGTGACTCCTGTGGTCTTCTGCGACGACTTTATTTTGGCCGACGCTGACACCATCTACTAGTTTTGTCACCCAAAAGCTTCACAAATTGAACCATGTGGATGGGTGCAATTACATGATTCAACACAAATTGCCTAAAACCCAGTGGAACTGGATGTCAAGCTAAAACTGTTGGTTTGCAAATATCCTAAAGCTTATTTCAAGTTCATCAGCCATTTGAAGGCAGCTGCATTGGCAAATGATTTAAGCTGTTTTGTTGCCAAAATGTATTGATATATATTCTTTGCTCAGTTTGTCCAGATGTGTATCACAGTGTTGCAAACCTTTCTCAAGCTGTCTCCGATTATATGTTTGCATCTTCACTTTGGGCCACCATGCTGATTTTCGAAGCACATGCTCATGCACGTGGTCCCGGTTTTATTTCAATTCGTTCAAGTCAGAGTAGCGTTCATATCTTTCCTCACAAGCCCTTCTGCCATACCCGCATGGCTTATATACAACCCTAATACCTTAGCAGCAAGGAATTACGAAAGTTAGGAATATAGGTATACATATGTATATATATATATATATAGTTACATGTATACATATTATATATATTATATTATATATATATTATAATATATCATTTAATTTATATGAATCAAATTCATGGTCACCAAACAACAGCACCAAAAACCTCCATGTTTCGCACCTCCATGGACGCTTCCAACTCCAAGCGCTGCGGGGTGACCCGGTGCAGCAGATAGGCGCGGACCTCGTCTTCCGTCAAACCTCGGTCCTGCCGAGCCGGGGCGCGGCGCTGGGGCTAGGGAAGATCCCAGAAATGCCAGGGAAAACCGAGGAAAACCAGAGGAAAACCAGAGGAAAACCATGGATTCCAGTGAGATTCCAATGGTGAAATGGAAAGAAAAACATCATGGGAATGTGAAAAAGATGTTCAAAACCCTCCTTTTAGAATGTATTATAGCTATTGGTAGCTAGGTTGAGGTGTATCTCCCATTTTGAGAGAAACCTATAAGTATCCTCTGGTAGTCAAACAGGGCTGGAAATGGAAGTGTTTTATGGGAAATGGGAAATCTGTATTGCCATGCTTAAGTTTTGAAGAGTAGGTAGTGGATTTGCCAAATGTTTTGTCTTTGGAAGATGACTCATGCCATTAATGGTTCGTAGACTTTCTACATATACATTAACTATTTTGGGGTAATATGGGCACGTATCTAAATATTAAATATAAATCGCTAATATGCCTGACGCCGCGGATGACTTTGGAAATGAACCCGCGAATTCGTTGTTGAACTTCTAGGGGTAGGTACGGCTCAGGACCAGATTCAGCTGATATTTTTTTTGGAGTGTGATGCGAAAATATGGTTTCTGCCTTCAGCAATGCATGCGAGTTCTTGTCATTTCCGTTTGTTGCATTCCCATATGGATCCCATATGCCACTGAGTAGAGGTGGTCCATGTCCCTGAGAACAAACTCCTAACCTGCCTGGGAAATTGTGTGAACCAATCTGAGCATTGGTGATGTGCAAAATCAAAAAACTAGAACATGTTTGCCAACCCCTGTGCAATGTGGCAGCGGTGGTGGTTGTATTCAATGTGTCTGTCATTTGGGTATCGATCAACATCCTCCTACCCTGCTGTTCACACTGGTTTCATCCCCCGGCACCATGACTTACTCTAAAAATCGAAAGATCAGAAAAAATCTGCCGACCCAGGACCACCTTCTGAGACGACAAAATGTTGAACCATCCAATTTTTGGTCAAATGGTTTGATACTAAACATCCAAGCTTAAAAATACCCATCCCGTCCTATCCATCCTACTAGTTGATGAGAGAATTTTACGGTGATATAATCCCCAATAAGCTAGTTTTTATAATCATATATAATAGCAATTTCCCATTTATATTAACCCACGACAGTAAAATGTGATAATCCATATGGGTTTATATGTGAAATGACATGATCAACCTCAATTTTGTAGATTTTTTTGTGATTGTGTACCCAAAATTGTACCCACAATATCATTTCGGAATAGTATTCAGCTTATCTGGTTGCTGAAAGAATCAACCCCTCGGAAAAATATGAGTTCGTCAGTTGGGATGATGACATTCCCAACTGAATGGAAAGTCACAACAGCCATGTTCCAAACCACCAGCCAGTTATGGTTACGGTTAGGTAAAATTATTAACCCATCACCATCCCCATGGCCTCGCGATTGCCGGCTTGCTCAAAGGCGCGACCCACCTCAGGTGGGGTCGTTTTACCCGTCACGGCCGTGGCCCGTTGGTAAAGCCCATGTGGTAAACACACTGCCATAAACGTCCAATGTTGGAGGATTTATCGCTTGATCCATGTCTGGTGAGACTAAGGATGGAGTTTATGGGCTTACCAAACTGAGTAGTTGAATATATATATATATATATATGTAATTATATACACAACATGAACCAGTAAAATTAAAAAAAAAGCAACTGTTTCCGTTTTGATGGTAGAACAATGTAGAACATATTGGAAAAACCTGCGACGTGATTATTTCGCAAACGTGCTGAAACAGATTGAAGCCAACCAAAGTTGGCAGGTTGACTAGAATCAAAAGGTGGATTCGATCCGCACCCGGTTTTTCAATCACCAACAAGTACAGTAAATCAATGGCAACCGGAGTGATAGAGTGATCTGGCAGAGAAGAATCTGGAATGATAGAATGATAGAATATGATAGAATGATAAATCAACAGTAATCACAGGAATGATCACAAGAATGATGACTCTGGTGATGTTTCTGGTTTTTTCAACCGGATGCACAGTGACGAATCTGGCAGATCTCGGATCCAGGATCTCTATATCAACCCTTCGGATCCAGGATCCACCGCACATCACAACTCGGGCTCCTCACGTGCTCAGAGGACAACCTCAGTGAATGTTCCAGGCGTCTCGCATCTCAACGCATTGAAACAGCTTGTAGAAACTTGCTACGTACAGCATCCTATAACATCCGACATGCGACAACATCCTACAACATCCTACAACATCCTACAACATCCTACAACTAGTTGGCTTCACAACTCCTTAAAGCAAGATTACTTTCTAGATGCCGGGATCATCGTGCCAAATCGGGATCATCCAACCCACCCAGTTCACCAGTCGCCACTTTGGACCGAGGTGCCAGAGCATCAGCCAGTCACACATGATGGGTTTCACCTAGCGGGGGGGGGGGGCGATCCTGTTTTCCCTCGATTCTGCAGGATTTTGCGGCAAAGAATAGCCTATCCATGGCCTATCAACAAGAACTGAGAAATGGACAACCAATGAATTCAATTCAACCACTCCGGTAAGGTATATTGATGAATCCAAAAATATATATATATATGCTGTATGCCCCAGAGTTTTCCACATGTTCAAACCCAGGTTGTGTCAGATCTCCGCCGCTTCGAAGATTCGAAGGGCTTGGGACTCTCATCCAGGGGCTGTTTGGGATGTACCAAACCCCATTAAGATTTCTATGGATTTCTCCTATGACAGAGTCATCTTTTGAGACAAAAATAGTCCCACCCTCATGTCGAGACGGCCAAGCACCTGCTAGGTTTTCTCCAGATCTCAGAGACTCAAAGACCCAATCAAAGAACCCAAAGCCCTTAGCATCCCCTATTTCAACATCATTCAACGGACTTCAACAGATGCTGCCTCCAACCTTTGAAACATCAACATGTTTAGGTCCTAATGCAACGACTCCATGTTCGCCCTTGTACGAACAGCCTCGTGATGGTAGAACTCCTCGTTTAGCAAGATCAGATGCGGGTTCCGCTGCAAGTACCGACTGTCGGCTCCGTTATGGATCATCTCGCCCAAAGTATGAAGAATCCTCAGGTGCTACCATCGACAGGTTCGGGTTTTTGTCCCATCAACAGTGTGTGGTAAATGTCACGTTTTGGGGATTTGGTTCACAAGTTGATGTGATGTGAGGAATTAGGATATTTACATATGTTTATGTATACCCAACCCCTGAATCAATATCTGGTTGGTGGTCTCTGGTACAACTCCTGGAAAACGTTCCTGCTAAACAAATCTTCATGTGTCATCATTTGTCAATATGTGTCAGCTAAATCCTGCCCTGCAAGATCTGTGCAGAATAGTCACCGATGTTCCCACCTTTCATCCCCCATAGGTGAGGTGAAAAGCCCTCAAGAAACTAATGATGATGGTCATTTGGAACCGTTGGAGAAGGTGTAATAATTCACCAACCTAAAGAGTTTTTGGCTATTTTCGGATCCTCCAATCCTGTCGGTATAAGATATCATTTATCCAGAATTAAGATCTTCTTGTTGTGGGCGAGCACTGCAAGTTGTATAGCTGTAGGTGGACAAACCAAAACTCTCGAACCAATCAGTTTCACCAAAAAAGAACTGTGAATAACCCGCATTACTTCCTCAAAGACGCCCCAGGTCTAAGAAATCCGGGAACTGGTATGTGTAGAATAGTTTAGGTTCCTCATGAATCTCAGAATTACTCTTTTTTGACTGTGCAGCTCTGGATCAAAATCTCTGGTACCCTTTTTTTTCAAGCCAAAATTGCAAAGCTTCATGGATCATGTCCTACGATGATCCCATATCTCCTTGGTTGGCAAAAACTCTTCATTTCCGGCTGACCCCCTCTTGCCAATATCATCCAATGAAAGTAGTCTTCCCCCAACAACTCATCACACCACTGTCATATTCTGGTTGGTGGTTTTAACCCCTCTGAAAAATATTAGTCAGTTGGGAATATTATTCCCAATATATGGGAAAATAAAAAATGTTCCAAACCACCAACCAGTAGTTGACCATTGGGCCATGTTTCTCCTTGGCACGCAGCGAATCCTTCAAATGGGGCGGCACGCGGCCCTTCTCCACACTGAAGAACCCATCAAGAAGATGCAAGACCACGCGCCAGCGGTCCTGAAACGGGGAGCACAAAGGGACCTACGGCTTTGAAGATCGGGTTCTTCAGATTTGGCTGCCTTTTTGATGGCAAAATCGTGAGAAACCAATGGGATTTTGGACAAACCCAAACAGTGGCAGATTGGGTCAAGCCGATTTTTCCAGGCGATACGGGTGTCTTTACGGGTCACGCGAACTCTCAGTTGGCATTGAGAATGGATGGGCCACACATGATTGGTGAAGGCACATCCATGGTCAAATCCTCAAGAAATGGGTGGCTTTGCTCTGTCAGATTTACGGTGAGATCCCAGTGGCTGGCGCATGTTCGATCAAATTCTTGGGTCCAATGGGAAAGTTCAACTCTGACCGCAAGGGGTGGAGGACCAAGTCCACTTCATCGATCATACCTGGAGCACGATCCGAGCTGATAGGGGGATTTTCGCCTAAACCTTTGAAACATGTGATTTTCCATAGCTACCCTTTGGGAATTTAACATATAGCTATGGAAAATCACCATTGTTAATAGGTAAATCATCTATAGTCTATAAATGGCTTCTTTTCCACAGCTATGTTAAATTACCAGAGAGCATATGTTATATAAAGTGGTTCACTCTACGATTTTTTCCGCGAGATGAAGAGAAAGAACAAGAGTGAAAATGACAATTCAGAAAACCAGGAGCATCAGCAATCATGTATACAAAAGTCTATGAGAGTCGGCATTTTGTTTGGCTCTAAAGAAGTGTTGTGCATTTTCGCAGAGCACCCGGCCAAAATCCAATGGTTTGCCCCAATGTTCCGTTGAAATTGCAATAGACTGGTGGATATATATATATATATACACCACATATCTAGAACATGGCAAAACCAATAAAAGTCACCTGAAATCCCCAGATTTCCACATGTTGTTGGCCGAAATCCGCGCTGAGCCCTATCCGCTCTATCCCGAAGGCGTACAGACTCCCTTCTTCATCAACTCCAGTGCTCGACCCATCTGCACGCATTCACGCCTCATGGCGATGAAGATATGAGACCGATGCCACTTCCACCTCTGGAGTATCTGTGTGTATAATATATATATATATATATCTATAGTTTGATATAGTGTATGTGAGCGTATTTGTAATCGGAGTTGCTGGGTGTAGAAAGGTACTTTGACCAAATATTTGAGGGTCAAATCTTTTGTGAATATTTCCTCCACCTGAGATTTTGTTATTCCTTCAGCATTTTTTTGGCTTCAGATTTCCACACTCCCTTTCCCCTAATACGCAACACCCCACCCGACCCTCGTGACTGCAGTGGATATAATTATTCATTGTGTTGCCTCTTCTTGAAGGTATTTAACTGCAACGAAACATGGACAACCAAAAATATCCTTTAATGCATGCTTAAATATTGTATACATTAATACCATCTAATCTTTTGGGGGCCGGCATGGGCCAAGCGTGGCAAAATGTGATTTTTTTCCCCACCTCATCTGAGTGGTATTGCGCCGTGCTTGCCGATCATTGGCCAAGTCCAATTGCTCCAAGAACCGCAGCTCCAGTGACTTCACGTCTCCAGGCGTTGTGAGCAGCACATCACCTTGGAAATGGCACCAGAAATGGCACAGAAATGGCACCACCCCGGCACGGTCGATTTGTTCGGATCCCAAAGCAATCCCCACAACTTGGAGACCTCAAGAAGAAGGCCCCCAAGAATAAGGCCTGAAGGTAGCAGCGATTCTTGGTCATTCCAAGCCACCGTGGCTCACAATGCGCCCCAGGCGTTCAGATAAGGCTACCTGGTGGCAGGACCAGGAAGCCTTAACCTCAAACATCCTCAAACCATCTGATCTGGTGATGCCCTCAGGTCTTTTTCGTAGGAAAAACGAGATCTCTTGGATTATCAAAAAAGGATGATCAAAAAAATGGTGGTTTCCTGAAATGGGGGTACCCCCGGATCATCCCTTTTAGTAGGATTTTCCGATATAAATCATCCAGCTATTGGGGTACCACCATTTATGGATATCATGTGGTTGGGAAACTTCCCGTAGCTCCCCAATGCTCCCCATTTCACCACCTTATCTGTTAGGATCAGCTATCAGAGTCTACCTATCCTCACGAAACCAAGGCTCCGGTTACAGCTCTGTTCCCATATTAGTCAAATGTGTATCCTATACTTATCTTTGGACGAATTTATAATTTGGATCTGAATAAATTGCAAAAAACAAATCGAATCGCCGTCCGTTGAAAGGTGAAACAAAATTACATGGACTTTTTAAAAAGGGGCTACCCTCTGGTAAACGTTTACATAGCTATGGAAAATCACCATGCTATTAATGGGTAAATCCACTATTTCTATGGCCATTTTCAATAGCTATGTTAGTTTACCAGAGGCTACTACCATCTACGACCCATTCTTTTCGTCTCCGCCATCTCGCCTCTAGGTCCAAGGACCGATCGCATTTGAAGGTCGACACACGCTTCTGCACCACCGTGGAGAAGCAGTTCCTGTGGCGCGCGTTGCACCCTACACGGGGATGGGTACCTATGAGTTTACCACAGGGGAATAGCCATCCACCAGCTATGACTTAGGGTACCTCGGGTGGCTTTTGACCCACAACCAATGATGAAAGCCAAGCATCTGCAGCACAGAGCGTGACAGGCTGATGAGGGCCGGTGGAACCACCAAGCAAACGATGCGGCTTCCGTTCGCGTGCATCAGCGCCAGCCTTGGGTTTCTTGGCTCAAAAGATGTCAAACCCATGCACCCCCTGGTTTTTATACCAAAATAGTTGGGATCTATGGATGTTCATCCATCACAATGTGATCACAAAATATGCTATTGAATGGTTTTGATCCAATACTGTACCCATTTTGGATCATTTTGGGTGATTTGCTTGGGGGGCGCAAGACAGCTGGGAATTCATCAAATTAAATAATTCTAATCCGGCAGTTGGAGGGGGGTCCAAAATCAAGTCACATTCAAGTCCGGCCACTGGCTTGCGGCGGATGTTGCTCATTTTTGTGGCATAGTACACTCAGATAATTTTACATAATAGCTATGCAAAAAGATGAAAATTGCCCATTCATAGAGGACTTACCTATCAAAAATTGTAATTTTCCATAGGCATATCAGATTAGCAGAGGGTAACCCCCAAAACGTTCGAATAGAAAAGTGATTTGCCAGCATTTTAGTAGGAATTGACTTGTCTATGCTTTGGGGATTGCCGTAAAGTTTTATTTTAAAGAAGGACATTACATAAACCATTCGGGTTTGTCTGAAAATAGGGTATATTCCCAATTATAGCCATTTAATAGGGATAATGATCATTAACCATTGGGTTTAGGGGTACACTATTTTCAGACACACCCATTCAATTATGGATTATTTGACACACACCCCTAGGATACCACCAACTTTACCCCCTAAAAATGTTGGTACTTCAGATCACTGTGGCGGATGACTCGGATGACCCTTCGAAAAATATGGCTTAACTGGGTCCGAAAATACCATAGGCTAGGCCCAAAATCACCTGGTTTATCACATGTGGTTAAAGATGGATACCCTCTGGATAAACTGTCCCATAACTATGGAACATCACCATCTTTAAGAACGGTAAATCAACTATTTCGATGGCCATGTTCTATAGCTTTTTCTATGTTTACCAGTGTACCAGAGCCAAATTCCTCGTCAAAGACATCCAACTGCTCCAGCGAAGGAACAGTGGAGATACCACCGATGTTTTTCCAGCTCCCATGATCATCTGCTTTACACTCGATTTGCCTCAGCTTATGGAAGCTCTAAAGGCCATCAATACAGTGGGGTGGTGGAAAACAATGCCACAAACCAGGCCATGTTTACCACCCATGACTGGGAATGGTAAACATACCGCCTATCAAAATGCTGATGACTGGGGGATGGTGCAAATGGCATTGGTTTACCCACACGAAACAGGGTTTTCTACTCAAACTCGAGTTTGAATGTCCAAAAAAAAATCGGCACGTCTGTCGCAAATTGACTGGTCATTTTTCATCGGGCCCCAAAAAGATGCCGAAAAGGGTGCCACCAGGATGCGATTCTTCGATGATTTTCATCACATAAATTCCCTGGTTTCCAACGTTTCTATCTACTGACGGGGGGTGCTACTTGGTGGCTCATCCCACTTACTAAGTAGGCTATATCCCAGGGTTCGAAGTGGGAATAAATAGGGTTCATACACTTATAACTGGAGTTATAACCTACTTACTGAGATGAACCACCAATGATAAATAGGATTAAACTTGATTAAACCTACAATGGGGGTGTCCTTCAATGGGGGTCCCCAAAAATGGATGGTTTATGATGGAAAATCCGATTTTTTGGTACCCCCATTTGAGGAAACCAACCCCCATTTTTTCTAAGCCCATTTCGCCTGATCTCAAAGCATCAGAGAACTCGTTGACCATCTCGACCTGCGACTGAAGTTGTCTCTGTCGAAGACTGGCACACTTCCCCAAATAGCAATGGGAAATTCAGGATCCTAAAATGGAGGTACGTTAGTACCATATGTTTGGCCATATTTTGGGGGTATAACCCCTTACATAGCCCTGAAAAATAGGCCTTATATATGGTAGGTACCTCCAATTTAGGATCCTGAAATTCCCATTGAAAATAGCAATTTCGCCTCTGGTCATTGATATTTATACCCTCTGGTTATGACTAACATAGCCATGGTATAGATGGCCCATAGAAATAGATGGTTTACCTGGCTTTACCTAGCTATAAAATGGTGATTTTCCATGGCGAACTGTAAGTCATAACCAGATGGTAACATTTTATAACTATAGCTATGGAAAATCACCATTCCTAATGGACCATGGCATCGCTTTGCTATGTTCAATTCCCAGACGTGGGGAACAAAGTCGGAATCAGCCCCGTGGATTGGAATGATCATCTGGTCAGATGAAAGGTGCTAACTGAACCTAGCAATCATGGAAATCGTTGGAAATCCTATGTTTCAATCCATGAAATCATGAGTTTTTCCCACAAAATGTCGATTTATCAGAGAATAAACTGGTACTTGGTTCCCCAAGACATGTCCTACCGGAAGAGGCCCACATGCCATTGTTGGATGAATTCTCTCGGGAAGACCGGAAAAATCCTCCCAAAAATGATGATCTTAAAATATAAATCATGATATGGCAGTGTGTCAAAACCTTGTACCCCTGGTTCACATCAAAATAGCTGGGATTTATGGATGTGAATAACCCACTAAAAATGGTAATAATAGGTATTGATCCATACCCATATATCATGATTCAATATCAGGATGGCTCCCAACATAGAAAAGGACGGGGGAAGTGGGTAGATCAAGTGATCTAGCCGCAGTGGCCCCGGTTGAAAACTGGTTGAAGCGCCTGACGCGGCCGCAGCAAAAAGCCAGTGACAAACTCAAAGACCAAGTAGTGAGGATCGAAGACGCCCTGACTTTCGATGACTTTCACAGGGTGGAAACCAGTGATGTTCCAGATATTTTACAAGGTGGTGCCCCCAAGATAGCTAAGTTGGTTTATAACTCTAATAACTATGGTTTATGGTACTTATAACTATACTTACTGGGGTTTATAAACCAACTTATAACTGGGGGGCACCACCTTGTAGGGATTCTTGTTAAGTGAATTCTCCAGCGTTTCAAATTGGATCCCTAAACAGTTCGCAGTAAAGATCAGCCACAAATTCTAGCCTGGAATATGTGTTCCACAGTACATCCATCTCGAGCATTCCAGTACATTCCGTACATTGAATATACAAGTTTCAAATTGGATCCCCAAAGATCCGTCTATTTGGCGGAACGATTTCCAGTACATGGATGGTTCATGTTGGAATCCCTGCCTTGAACTCCTTGCTTCCTGGAACCGAGTGGGATACTGCATCAAAGGGCTCCCCAAAAGTGGCGCATGTTGCAGAAATGGCTGGTTGGTGGTTTCAACCCCTGTGAAAAATATTAGTCAGTTGGGGTTACTATTCCCAATATATGGAAAAATAAAAAATGGTCCAAACCGCCAACCAGTTGTGATGATCTATATACAGTAAAAGGATTTTATGGTGCGCAATGCAATTGCTTGGTTAATCTCGGCCATAAACCCAACTGAACCAAATTCATAAGATACAAATGGATACAAATGGCACATGCAACAACCCCCACGGGACTTCTCATGATCAAAAACCGAATCTGCGGCATGACAGTTGCTGCAACATGATGTTCTTTGCATTACGTCTGAGTCTAAGATACTAGCAATCAATCAACATCACATAAACATGGTACTAGAATGTACTATATACATGTATATATATATATGTAGAGTATCTGGACATCGGTCCAAATCCAGCCCCCAGGTTTGATGGTTTTATCAATCTGAAAACGCAAGGGCGTTTTCCCAAGATCTCATGCTTGAGAATTCAAACATCGGCTTCATTCGGAATTGAGGTATCCACATGTATCCAGCAATTTGGGACGTGGACAGACTCATATCTGGGTATTGGTCCAGATATAAGCCCCAACAAGCTGCGTCATCTGTCTGATGCCAAAATGCGTTGAATCCATAGCATGAGTTCCTGACAATCTCTCCTTCCTCGTATCCTTGTATGTTCACAAATCACTCCTTGAATGGCTTGCCGACATTCTTCCCACATTTTTCAGTTGCCTTTATTGCAGTGGTTCTTACTATCCACAACCATGAATGGATGTTCATCCCTGGCTGAGAAGTGTAGGTTGATAAACCATAAAATGGTATGTCTGAAAATGAAGAAACAAAAGAACATGGTTTATCATAATTTCCACCACTAAAATGGCCA